AAGCATCTTGGAGATAAAGTGAACATTCATTACAGCGGAGGAGGGAAAACAAAGTGCTAAAGATAAATCAAAACTGTAAAAAAGTAACATTAAAAAACCTCATCTGGTTTTTCTCAGCCTTTTGGCAGAGCTTTCGATTCAGTCTAATTTCTCATTTCACACCTCTCTGTTTCCCCGTTTGGCTTTATTTTTTGTACTTATAGTCATAATTCAGAATGTGTTTGCCCTCACCAAAAAGGCACTTATGAAATCCCATGTGTGAATTTAAAACAGGTGTCCTCCTGGGACACAAAGTACTCTGCCTTAACAGGTGATGTGTCTTACTTCAGATGTTTATCATGATGTTACATTTGATTTCTTTAGCAAATATAACTTTCTCTTCTCCAGCTTTAAAGCTATATTTTGTAACTTTTCCCCAATAAAATGACTACAATAACAGCATACAACAATGGATAATGTAAGTACACAACAATGGAATAGTTGTTTCCAACAATGTTCAAACCCAGAGAAATTTGTAATTGCATTCAGCTAACAGTGCGTTTCACTGGTCTCCTTTCAATGGCATCATATCCCCTTTGTATATGCATCAGTGTTGTGGTTGTCTGCCAGAAGCTGCCAGAATCTTTTTTTAAGCCATATTTGTACAGTACACTTTTTAAACCTGTCTCATTTTTAACTATATATTTTAAGTGGATGAAGGATTTTAGTCATCGAACACAAGCTAAGCAAACTTAGTGGCAGCTCAGCTCGCGGAACGTCTGAGTAGCGCCAGAGAAATAGAAATTTGTAGGTGAAACTGCTTTATTCAGTGTTTTTCTGGTTTTAATCACCAGGTCTTGCAGCCCCCCCAACGAGGTCCTTTGTCCGCTGGACAGCATCTAATTCAGTTTAATTCAGCTTGCAGTGCAATGACAGCAATGGTGGTGAATACAACAACTCCCATTATCCCACGCTACTTCACAACATCATCAAACGTCTTATTTTGTTATTCTTTTGATGTGAGAGACCCCTTAGCAGCAGAAATTGCATATTGTATGATTAAACTAAATATAAGTCTTTGTTTAGTTTGGCTGTTACTCTCAGTACTCATTCTCAGTAACACAGTCACTTGTAGCAGTGCCGCTGTGAAAGCAGAGTTTCTGCAAAAATTGGAGCTTTGAAAGGTTCAATTGCTGACCAACTTGGAAATGTTAATGACTAACCTGAGTTACTATCAAAATGCCTTGAACAAGGCACCTAATATTTGTACAACTGACAAATAATTGACAAGTACTCAAGCCTGAAACATGAACTCTTCCTGCACTCGATTTAAGTAAACAGTGCTGAGCTGGCCTTGGGTTTTACTTGAACATTTCAAGCTAGTAAATGACTGAGACTGCTCTGAAAGCCCCTTTAACCTGCTACTGTGCTGCTTATTATTTGCAAACTGAGCTCCCATTTTGGCTAGGGCTTTCTTGTAAAAGTGATCTTAAGAGACCAGTAAAACAAAGGCTGAATAAATAAAATAAAATAATAATAAAAACATATTCCCAGCAAACACACAGAGGTAAACAGGTCTATTTCTGTTTCAAAAACATCTTTGAGGTTACAGAAACATGACTGTAATTGATCAGCAGCACTATTAATAACATGTGCTTATTTCATTCAAAGAACTGGTGAAATATATACTGATTGTACATTTAACTAAAGCAGTAGCAGCCATGATTCTGCTCTATGACATTGTGTTTAGGCAAAGGTCTGCTATTAAAAATGCAACACTACATTTGCCAGGAAAACAAAGGCATGAAGCATACACCTGTGGCCTTCCAGAAACATAATGTATAGGGAGTGGGTTGGTGTGGATGAGCTGTTCTGAGGGAGTACAGTAATGTGGAACTGCGTGACGATTGCCCCTGGATGAACTGGGAAGCTATGCTACAGCACAGAGTCATATCTGACTAGTTTTGATGTGCTGAAAAGCTTGGACGTATGTGAGGTTATATGGCAGCAGATGGATATTAAATGCACATCATCCAGTGGTGGTAACTAAAAAGGCTCAGGCATGTTTTATTACATTTTTTAAATGGGTGCTGTTCTTCCTCAAATTTAAGGCTGAAGAGGGACACATGCAAGACCTGCTGTGGCATTTAATCTAACAAAATATTGAGACTGTATTGAGAAAGGACCCCTGTTAACTGTTACACCATCAAACGGCAAGCTGGGTACAGCTCTCCATCACTTCTGCCTAATTCGATCGACTTCACACTTGCTGGTTGTATTGCTGACCCAAGGAAGCGCAATGTTAACTGAAGTTGTTTGGATGAGCAGTTCTCAAGAAAGCTGCAAGCTGTGGCCATTATTTTTCCAAACAGGCACATTTTAAACAGGCACTGTGCTAGTTAAGTGAAAAGGAGGGCCTTCATACAGCCTACTAAACACTGTGGATGCGAGACAGGCATCGCCTTAATTTAACAAAACTTCTGTAAGTCTGTAACTCCAATACACACTGGACAACCTCCATTACTAGACTTGTCTTATCCCCAGCAGACTGCAGTGCATATGATGAAACTCCATACAAACAAACACGTACTGTATGCTCAACACAAGCTGGACGAATAAAAGTTGGATAACAAAGGCAGACATAATCATTTAAGAATTCATTTGAGTTTCATGTCATAAAGGATAATTTAGTTAATAACTATGGACAGAAACAACTCGTACAGAAACCACAGAAGTGAAATCATAATCTACGCCACAGATAATCAATGTGTGCACAAAATGTTTTTGTTTACTTGTCTGAACAAGATAAGATTGCTGCTACTCCTAGAAAATCCCCCTCTGTGCTTTGTCAACCTCATACTACGAGTATAACTCTACTGGTACAGCGTCTTTCAAAAATAAAGTTTACCAAATGTCTTGCAATCAAAAGGCGCGCAAACATAGCTTATTGTTGTGTTTCATTCATGTTCAGGATGCATGGTTGTGTATTGTTTTTTATTAATGCTTTTCCCCTCTCTCTCTCTTTCTCTTCAGCTTGCCCTCAGGGCACCTTTAAATCGTTCCAGGGGGCAGGATTATGTCAGCAATGTCCGCTCAACAGTCGCTCCACCATCGAGGCTGCCACCCTCTGCGGTTGTCGGAATGGCTATTACCGAGGAGACATGGACAAACCAGAGGACATGTGCACCAGTGAGTCTCTCTCTGTCAAACAAAAAGACATGCTCAATAACTGAGGGTGATTTTGCCTCAAGGTAATCAAGACATAATCTGAGAGGGCAGATTTTTGGTCTTATTATGTACCAATAGCTGACATATTACAGCATATCAGTGGTTGACATCACTGATGGTCCAATATCTCATTATTGAACTAAAGGCCAATATCTGTTTTGATTTATTATTCCAACCTTAATTTTATGCACCTCATTCAGAGAGTGTGTGCCGCAGTGTTGCCGTCCTTGTTTGGGGATTTGGGGAGCAGTAAGTAATAACACTGTCACATTCCTCAGGCTTTCCATTGAAGTGAATATGTGTTTAGTGTGTTGAAGAGGCTGTATTGCTATGCAAGACGAGGCACAGAGTTTGAAACATGCTGCCTCTCTGTTCCACAGAGAGATGGTGTAAGTAGGTTGAGACATGAATCATTTGGACTGTCTCTGCAGCAAGTCTCAAACTGTGAAACTGTGTGTATATGTCAGTGTGTACTGTGTGCGGAGGTACATGTGTGCGTGTTTGTGCACGTCCTGGTGACCTGGATACAACTTCATGTTTTTTTGGGGGCTAAAAAAAACCATTCATGGGTGGGTCTTTATTTTACTGGTTTACATTTATGAATGAATTTGCAACATTCTGCCAGCAAAATACATAAAAGGTAACCCCAAAACTGTAGAATATTCTCTCAGGTGGTGTTGTATGAATCACAACAGTGAATATTGGTGACTATTTTATGAGCCCTACTTGTAGCCCTTGATGTCCCTATGTTGACACTATACTGCTCTACTAATTCATTCCATTGCTCAAAGTTTGAATCTCTTTCACACCTGTAGTTTGGTTCAGTTCTAGTCCAAAATAAGAATTCATTGTTGTCTTGTAGTTCTGTTTTGTGAACAATGGGTTATCACAAATGAACCAACAGGTGTAAAAATGAAGTCATATGGACTGACAGGTAACTTGATTGTTGAGTTTTGGTGTTGTCCTACATCCTCAGTGCTACATGAGCCCACAAGGGGAATCAAATTCCGGTGACTACCAGCCAGGTCATGCAGCACTTCTGCACTACTGCTTCTTATGTGTTTATTTATCTTTTATGATGGTCACAAAGAGCAAAACCCCAACTGGACCTCATATGCCATAAATAGTGAGGTAGAAACAGGAGGAAAAGGGACATTTTGTACCTTTATATTAAGGGGGACTGGTTGCTGTTTGGCATCTATATTTGGACGTTGTTGGATTAATATAACTACTGCTTTAATGTGTATTTTGCATTTTACTGCCGTGGTTGTTTGAGGTTAAGCTAATTTTAACCAGATACTGTTGGCTAGTTTAAACTACAGCAGTACATCATATTATTAAAGATTGTTATATTTTTGTAGCATCGCTGTCCTCTGAGAACCACGTATCTCTAAAAAGGCAACTTTTCATGAGCTCAGAAAAACAGGCCTGTTTTCAGCTTTGTCAAAATGCATTTTCCAGCTAATCCAAGAGGGTTTTTAAATAGTTTATTTTAGCTTAAGAAGGAGGAGAATTTTCTCAAACCATAAAGGAACACTTAATCCTTCAGTTTACCAGACATCCACCACTGGTAGATGGATTTAATAGTTTAATATTCATGCTAAAATTACTTATCTACTATCACACATTTCTGTAGTTGGTTTGCTTTGTTGTTACACCACAAACAAACAGTATTGGACTTAGAAACAGGCAGAGAACCAACCTTTCAGGTGTTGGTCCAGTTGTTCAGTCTGCACCAGAGTTTAATTGATCGCCTCCTCACTCAGTCTCCATAAACCAAACCAAATGTTCAAATGCGCCACAGTTCGTTTGAACCAAGCCAAACAGGTTGGGCGTGAAAGTAGCCTTAGGTGCATAATCAGTGTCATTGTAAAAAAGTGCCATAGTGATCCATAAAAACATCCACAGAGGTAACAAATAATGTAATTTATCACCTGTAATCCAGGATTAAAGCTAATTTCATGTCCTACCCTAAAAACTCATTTTACTGGGGCTACATTCTGCAATTTTTGTGATTGTTTTTATTCGCTTACTTGTATTTCAATCAAACCATGTCACTACTCATCATTTATTGCAGTATATTATATAGGGGAAAATTATTATGCCACAGTGGTAATGGTGCAATTTATGGGGTTAATCTATTCTGACAACAGAGAAAGCACATGAAAAAGCTCACCTCAAACAGTTGCAGCAAACTCTCAAATTGATGCTGACAGAAAAAAAATCAACTTCCCCAGTGAAAAGGTGTCAGGTGTCAACCTACTCAGCCTACACAGCTTTGTGAATTACCTTGGTACTTTCAATTCAAGGGCAAAAACAAATGGAGTTACACAGGTTTTTTTTTTTTTCCCAAACACAGCAGCAATGAAAAAGAAGAGTGAAAAACTCTGAAAACCGTGCGATAGAACTTCAATATAGGAAGGAGCTTCAGTTTATTTTTATTTGGTTTAAACTCAATCACATATAAAATCAGATCAGTGAAATGGAAGAGTGAGCGTGCCGTGTGTAGATAGTTGGCTGACAGAAAATCTTTCTCTCAGCATGCCTCGTGGGCTGCATAGGTACGGAGCAGGAGGGTTTGTGTGAGTGTGTTGTATACGTTTGTGTATTTTTGTGGAGAGGTCAGATTGATGCTGCGAAAGCCACTTAAACAGTGAGGAAGTGTGGCTGTAGACTGCAGTATATATCACTCTTTGAAGTGCTTGAAACGGTTTCAATTGTTAATACAAAATGGTCAATTTAAAATATGATTATTACCTCTTTTCTTACTTTTTTGCATATGAATGTGTATTTTCTGTGAACTCTGAATGTCTCGCTGTCTAAAAGAATTTGTACTTGTGCTATTCAGATCAAATGTAAAAATTGAGTGAATATCTTATCTCATACGTACGTGTGTGTGTGTGTGTGTGTGTGTAATTATGAATGCACAGTTTCTCTTGAGTTCTCTCTCTCAGTAGGAATGTTTATAAGATAGCGTGACTTAGATTTTCGAACCCTTTCTGATTGTTTGCACTTAGAGACACCCACTCTGCGGAATCAGAGTGTCTGCTCGACAAATACACGCACACGCACATTCCACAGGGACATCTCAGACGTTTCTTATGACTCTGTGATCTAACATATGCCAAGGTTGAATATCCATTTCATTTCAACTGCTCTTGTTCCAGCATGTCGTGCGGGTGTGTCTGTGTGTGTCGCGGGACGCGGGGATGTGTGTGTGTGTGAATAGTTGAGGAGAAGTGAACCCGCTAGGTTTAACCTTGTGAAAACTCTGGGTTTAAGACTCACGATAACACCCTAAAAACCAGTTTCTCCTCAGATCAAAGAGATGAGCTGTCAGAAAAGAGAGAGAGCCAGCACGAAAGAAAGTGACTGACTGAAGAGTGACAGATAAAAAGAGATTCTCTGGCTTGCAGTGATCTGTTAGGTCACCTTCTGACTGTTAGAGACAGGGTTAGCCCAAATTCACTACATCTGTACCAGCGATACTGGTTGGAAACTACACTCGGCAACTTTGCATGAAGGCAGTCTTGTGAGCAGGAAGGTTCAGAGGGCAGTGGCCAAGGGGTCCTTACTTTAATATAGAATATAATCTAGGCAAACAGGATGAATTAAAGATCCCTCAAACACCCAAGATGCTATGAGACAAGATGTTATTTTCAGTTATTCATCTTAGTCAGATTTATCTTATATTGTATGTAAAATAGGGCCGCATAAGGCTCTCTTTTCTTCAGCAATTCACTAATCATAATGTCCAAATATTGTAGAAAATGTACATCTGAATTTCCTCAAGTTGACACATTGAAATGCAAGTCTAGAAAAACCAAAAAATATTTGTGTTTTTATATGCTAGAATAATGCATTTTAAAATGAAAATTCAAATATGACAAGGATTAATCACATCTCGTCGAATCTCTCCATCTAAAAAATATCGTCTTATATATTCGATAAATATTTCCCTTGACATGTAGTGAAGTAGAGACACAAAGTTACAAAGTGAAATACTTAAAACAGCTCAAATGTTTCTGAACTTAGTACCGGTCCTGTTATTTCCTCCTTTGTTTCTGTAGCTAATCTTGAATCACAAGCACAAACTGAAACAACGGTTGGTTGATTTTCTTTTAATGTAATCTCAGTAATGGGTCAGACGTGTTTATGGAAAATATTGTGGATAACAGGACAGTGATACTCCAGCTCCTGCACTAACAAATACATCAGTAAATCTGATATGATACACCCCCGTCAGACATTTATATTAATGACAATGTGAGACTTCTTGGCTCCCTAGTTACTGTAATATTATATCAACTGAAACGTTTCCAAAGATAGCTTATAGCATAGACGCAGGGGTGCTCTGCGTATACAACAGCTTGCTTAGCTATAAAATACCAGACCCCCTGTGATAGTAAGACATTTATCCATATGTAAGCCATTAGTAGGCACTGCTTAATAAAAAAAAATAAAAAGTGATTTTCTCAAGTGCTGAACATAATGAATTTTGATTACATCCAGGTGTGGAGGAGTGATTTGCTTGAATTTTCCTGATTGATATCTGCAGCACATAAGTGTGACCAGTTATAGTCCTGTTGAAACTAAAACAGACATTGGAAACATTGTATTTTCAGTGTCAACCCTTTAACCTCCAATAATCTTCCTCCAGGTGTCCCTTCGGCTCCTCGCAATGTGGTTTCAGTCGTCAACCAGACATCAGTGCTGCTGGAGTGGCACTCACCACGGGACACTGGGCACCGTGACGACCTGTCATATAATGTCTTATGCCGGCGGTGCCACAGCAGCGAGCGCCGGGCATGTCAGCCGTGTGACGACAGCGTGGCATTCGTTTCAGGCAAGCGAGGGTTAAAGGAAACAAGGGTGAAGATCAGCAAGCTGCGGGCGCATACATCGTACACCTTCGAGATACAGGTTTGTCCACTGTGCACTCTGTTTTGTTCAGCTTGCATGCTGTTAAATGCTGTTGAAGGAATATTCATCTGGATCTAGGTATTCAATATTTGAGTATCACACACTGATCGCTTTAAAGGTGTCTCTGAAAAGTTAACTCGATGGCAGCTATATTTAGGTTTAAATTCAGTTGCAATGGCCACCAACAGCTACCCAGAATCACAGCAAGACGTTTAAGACCTTTAAGAAAACCCTTCCTGCAGCATAATCCACTCCTCCTCTGCTGATCTTTATGCTCATAGTTTCCTCACAACGTACATATCTACAGACACGATTCTTGACACTGTTGCCTCTTCATAGCTTTGCAGGAGGCACAGTACTGGCAAATTGACTCTGCCATGATTCAATTGTCATTGGAGGCCACTGTAACAGCTGAGTCCAGGGTATTTTAACGCTCCACAAAGAAGTAACAAACTTTACAAAGCCACCTTTTAAGCATACAGGCAGAGAGTGATACTTTGCTCAAAAGTTGGATTTCCAGTGGAGAATTCCTTTAACTTTTCACAACACTTGTTACGCAATGTTGAAGGGAGTAACTTTGAAATGTAACTTTTACAAAGTAGGATAAGTGTTTAAAATACAGAGTTTCTTCTCTAAAAATAAAGCAATGCTTTATACTGAGAACTATAAAAACTATACTAAAAAATACATTAAAAACAATCTTGGTCCTAAGTGTGCTGTCAACTCTTGTTATAGTATGTAAATAGCTGCCAGATATTCACTGTGATGCTCAAGGATACCGAAGCTACATAGATGCTTTCTTACACAGGGGCTTTGTGCACAGTTTGCTGTTATGCTGTCATGTTCTCTCAAACCACAAGGCCACCACGATGCCTATAAAGTCAGTACGATGGTGAACCTTTTAATCTTCTGCCATCGGCCGCATTTACCATCAAGGCTGGGTGTCTAAATCAAGGTGACCCACATGGTAATTGTTAAGGGAAGAAAGCGTGTTACTTCCCATTCAGCCTTGTATTGTGAAATATCATCTCAGGTCCAGTGTACCAAATTAGAAATAGGATTTGTGTAGCAATTAGACATATAGTTTTATTATATCTCTATTATCTAACTCACTAGTAATATGTAGAAAACCTTTTTTTATATTTTGGCAAACCTGTTTTTTTTTAATCCTCAGAAACTCAAGGAAAAAGGAAAACACAAAATAAAATGTGAAATGATAACGAAGCAAACAAAACAATATAGAATTAGAGCTTGGAGTAAGCTAGCGTCACTAATTACCACGCCTTTGTTTAATGATTTGCTATGACTGAAGACATTGTTTCAACCGTCGAAATGATTAACGTGAGCCCATGACAAACAGTATGTGACAGCTAATTAGGTGGTCTTTAAAACGCACTGGAATCCTGTTAATTGTGTCTTTGTGTTTGTGAGACGAGAAAGACGGTGAGACCTTACAGTTTGAAGAAGACATCGGCGGTGCTTCTCCGCTGAAATGAATACCAACTCATTGTTGCTGATAATTGACTCTTTGCTAAATTCCTCCCCTGAACAGTGATTTTTCCAATCATAGCTTATCAACCATAACTCTGCACAGAGGGTCTGTTAAACTTCAGATTTCTCAACATGCTAAAGCAGAGTGCATGTGGCTGTAGTAAGAGTGCCGTAAGAGTGTGGAGGGTGATGTATTCCTTTTCAAGTCCAAAAGAGAGCAAAAGGAATTCATTTGTAGTTTATCTCCTCAAATGTAAGCTGCCCTATTGATCATGTCACGTTAACCCAGGTGGTTAGTTACAGAAGACCTAACCTGTACAACCTTTGTGTAATATTGTCTCATTATGTGTCCTGGATGCTAACACAGTCTAGTAGGGTAACGTCAGCAGCAGTCCTGCTCTTTAACACTGCAGCAGATTTTTTTTTTTTTGCCAAACTCATTAGTTAGCTCTGATCCTAAAAGCCTTTTCTCTGGTAACATTAAAAGTGAAACACACTGTTAACAAATACCAACAATAAAGCAGATATCCAACCTCTGTTTTGCTTGTCCAAAATGTGTAAGCTAAGCAGCCAGACTGGGTTACGTTGGAAGGAGAAATCTGGTCTGGGAGCCTGGTTGGTACCAATGTTCGACCCAGATTATCTGGGAATGTGAGGGGTTTACAGATCCAGACCTAAACCTCCAGACCTACTCGCATGTTTGATATTTAAATGTTAAATGATTACATCGGTATGGAAGTGAATGGGAGATGTTGCCAAGCAGTGGTGGACTTGTTAGCCCTTGAGGCTGACAGCTATCATGCTATATACTTATTAACTGGAGACCAACAGACAGTTAAAGTCTATCTGGCTGAATAGACAACCATTTTCTCATTCAGACTTATGTAGCTTTTTCTCTTTTTTTTTTCTCACTGAAAGGCATTGGCGTTACTACAGCAACCTGTTTCGTTTTGAAGTGTGTTAATGTTTGAGATTACAAAGGAAAAAAAATTGGTGAATTTTCTCCTTATGTGCTTAAAGCAACCTGAATTCAAAATTGGTTTGGATTTTAAAACTCCTGCACTCTGAGCCCGTCTTTAGCCTCATTCTGTTAGCACAAAATAATGAATTTAACCATCAAGTGCATATTTAAGACCCACTTACAAGGTTCTCCTTTTTAAACAAATCAGCTGGAAACATTACAAAGTCAGTCTGTGAATTTTCAAGCAACTCATAGAGCTAATGTTAGCGTAATCAGCTATCTAACTTCAGCTGACAAGAATCTGCTGTCATTTCAGCTGGTGAAATCACCAGTCACTGGATAGAGATGATCTTTCTCTCTACCTTTGTCTGAAATCAAAGGCCTATTGTTAGGAATAACCAGGATTTCTGAAGGTTAATTCTGACACCTTTTAACACTGTAGACTGCATATGTGCTGTGCGAGTAAAGAAAGCATGACAGGCCTAGTAACTGTGACCGCTGACCATTACACTTTGTCCTCTACAGGCAGTAAACGGAGTCTCCAACAAGAGCCCTTATCCCGCCCAACAACTGTCAATCAACATTACAACCAATCAGGCTGGTGAGTGGGGAGTGCAAAAGCTCTGTGCGCGCGTGTGTGTGTGTGTGTGTGTGTGTGTGTGTGTGTGTGGATGAGCATTTGTGTATGTGTGTGTAAGCATACCCCGGGGCACAGTGGATTATGCTGGCTAGGGGGATAAAGGAAATTGAGCTACAGCCTTTTAATTCATAAAACATGTTATAAGCTTGTCATCTCTCTCCCTCTGTCTCCTTTTCTCTCCCCTTTCTCTGTCTTTCCTGCACATCCACAGCTTTCATCCTGTTTTCCTCTTTCCCCCGTTGCCTCTCCCTCAGTTCTCTTTTTCTTGCCTTTATCCCCTCTCCGTGCCCTCCACTCTCTCTGTCCCCCTCTCTCAGTCTCTGACAGTGTAATTCTTAGAGACTATAAAGTGAGCTGAGTTACTGCTCCATCAATACTTTATGGAGACAGACACAAGTGATATTTCCACCGCTACCCAAATTTAGATTTAAAAGCTGCTTTACTCTGATGGAAAACACACCATTTACCTCATCTATGGCAACCCAGGCTCATTCCTAATCGAAACATGATCCATTGTCACCCTGCTGCTTTCTGAGCGCATTTGTTACTGCTGCCGGATGAAAAACTCTCTTATCCCTGAAATCTTTTAGGACTCAACAAAAACTGATTTATTTTCAGGTTGACTGCACTGCTGGGGTTTAAATTATGCAGTAGGTTTTAGCGCATTTCACAGGGCCTTAGGATATGAAACTCACTCGACATATAGAGACCCCTGTAAAATGTCAATTGTGGCAATATTAAAAAAAAGACTATGAGGTTTTCAGGCGACAGCTCACTCACACTGTCAAATTATAACTACAGAAGACGCATGTGGCTCATGAGGTATCACAGCATTTACGAGGATTATGGCAGTCCCACGATATTCTTTGTGACTCCGCTGTGTGAGAAGCATACATTCTCTTTCTCAACATAACTTATATCAGTTTGATACTTGTTACTGGTGTAGTATCAATCTCCATGTCTTGATTCCCTCCTCTCTCCAGTGTACGCCATCAACTTAAGTACAAATGTGATGAAAACCATCTCATAAAAAGATCCCAGAGGCAAAACCATGAAATACATTATAGCCAACAGCTTCTGGTTCCTAAAATTATGAGTAAAAATGCATTACAGACATAACTCTTGTTTCCCCATCAGTGACAAGTGCAGTAATTTGTTTTCATGAGCCTGGATGAGGAAACATTTTTCTCCTTTGGGTGTAAATAATCCTTGGCAATATGTCATTACATTACACACTAAATTTCCATATTTATGGTGTTTAAGCATGCTAGCGAATCCTTTAACTGCCTAATTGATTGTGTGTATTTGTGTGTGTGTGTGTATGTATGTGTTTTTTTTAACAGCTCCCTCAGTGGTTCCCATAATGCACCAAGTGAGCTCAACGAGCCGCAGTTTCTCGTTGTCATGGCCACCGCCCGAACAGCCCAACGGAATTATCCTCGACTACGAGATACGATACTATGACAAGGTAGAGTGGGATGATAAATGTCTGTGGGTGTTTGTGTGTGCTTTGTGGTGTCATGGTCACAGCCAGTAATCCATTAGAGTTGATAAAACAGGAGAATCAATATCAACTTCGTCTAAGTCATCTATTATCAGCAGCAACACTGTTTCTCAAATGCTTCAGCTCCTAATAATTTGTAAAGTAAAAGAAACTGTTGTTGGTATGTTTATTTACGATGTGTCAGTCTGCTCCGTCTTCACCTGCGTATGGACAGATGTACATTATTTGGACACAGATGCTGGGTAAAGTAACCATTTAGAGGACCACAAAAAATATTTCTGTGATAAAACATATACATTCCTATTCATGTAATTACACAAATAAGGTATATTTACTCAAAGAAATTGTTAGATTAGTAGGTACAAATCTAACATCTGACCCTTAAAGCAACACCCAGGAGACAGTTAGCTTAGCTTAGCATAAAGACTGGATTCAAGGGGAAACAGCTAGTTAGTTAGTTACTAGTTTTTGTATTAGTTAGCTTTGGGGGTGCTGTCTTACCCTGTCTCCAGTCTTTATGCTAAGCTAAGGTCTCCTGGTTCTAGCTTCATAATGAACGTACCTACAACGTACAGACAAAGAGAGTGGTAATGATTTTCTCTTCGGCAAAGGAAGGGAATATACATATTTATATGGTAATGTTCATCTTACAATTTAATCAAAGATAATTAGGGAAATACAGCAACATTAATATAACAACCCCAGATCATCCAAAACTTAAAGAACTGGAGAAAAAAAAAAATAGGTCGAGGACAAAATTTAATGAATGCATTATTTTTTTCATCAGAAATCGTTGATCCATGATATAACCCAAACTAATTAAAAAAACGTAAATATCTGCATAATAATATAGGTGCAAAATTCAAGTGTTAATTTTAAGTATTATGTGTATATATACCTGGCACGATGTCCTCACTGGATATTTCAGCTATTTTAGCAAATATCTAAAATTATCAACTAAGTACCGCAATGGCCACTGAGACATTCAAACACAACACATTGACACCATAAGAAATTTTGTCACCATTCAAGAAAAACAAAAAACAACCCAAATGCCCAAGAGTCTTTACTTGCAGAACGTACAAGGATACAGAAATCCAGGTCGGCAAACAAGGTCCAGATGAGGCAGAATCCAAGTAATACAGGCTGGGTTGAAAACAAAATCAGGATCAAAACAAGGAAATTCGAGACGCTGGAAAGCTAAGGCATATGACACAAAGACAGTCTGGGTGAGAACTAGTGGATATCAATCAATGTACATACTAGGGAACTAGTGAGGGAATGAGGGTGAGCAGGTGAGGTGACTATAATCAGAGACTGGGTGTGTCTGAACTGACAGCAGAATAATGCGCAAATGACAAGCTAGAATATACAAATGAATAAACATACCGTAACCATGAAAGATTATTATTATTATTATTATTATAGTCTGGTGAGTTCTGCTCCTCTTAAACATGACATGATGATGAATTAAGGACAGCTGATGGCACAAACATGCGAATATCTTCCTTAGATTTAGAATTCTTGTAATGGATGTATTTTTCTCTCACTTTTGCTGGATGTCTATTATACAGTATTATTTCCTAACACGTCTAGATTGATCCGAGAGCTTCAATGCATATTTCATGGAGCCCGTAGTCATACTGACAAGGTGTTACAGTGATGGAAGAGCTCCTCTTTATTCCAGCACACATCAATTGTTGATTGTAGCCGTGTAGCAGAAATGAGCATCCATTTATCAACAAGTGGCTACAGTGGGATCTTGTTAAAGTGTAAGACGACTTAACTAAGCTAAATTTTAAAAGAAAAGTTTATTGATTAATTGAATCCTGGAGCTTTTAGTTTCTTCTGTGAGCAACTGATGAAGTAGTCTGAGTCGCCACAGTTTCATAAGCCGTAACACACAATATGGAATCTAATTAAGATCTGTGGGCTCTGGAAGATCAAATTAAATCAACTGTTTAAATGGTCAAGAAACTCACAAAAGAACTCATGCAGATATTGTGTGACTTGTGCTGCCCACTCTTCACCTTTAATCACTGTCTTATTAAAAAGATAATTATGGACAGTGATTTAGACAAACTTAAACCAACCAATGACCAAAATTGTACTTATGTTGCCATCCTAGTAAAAAATAGTTTAATGATACACTGAAGGTGATGAAACTACATATTTTATATTAATACAATCATATCAGCAGTCTTAGTAATTTTCCCAATGATTTCCCACTTTTTTACATCTCTGATGCAGTTTTTCACTAATAGGCTCCTCATGGTGATTACACATGCTCTAGAGTCTGTGGGGAGGAATCGTACAGTGTTTGTGGACTGCAGCCACTAATACTGCTGTATTGTTGTTGAGTTGTTGAGTGTTGATTGTGTCCTAGATTCACACAGCTCACTGTTGTTGTGGCCTTCAAGTCTCTCTGTGGACCTTTGTGTCTCAATATGTGCCAGAAGAACTCACAGACAGCTGGTTTTACATAGTTAACTTTATCTATGGAGGACAGAGAGATAGACAGGCCACCACAAAGAGTAGAACGTCTCTGCAGGTAACCATCCATTCATTCAGGGTTAGATGTCCCAGGCAGTTGTGGTTAAAGGAAACAAGACATTCAAAATGATTCTTTGTATTTTCTTTGCCATTGTCAACGATCAGAAGATGTAATGATGGAGCTTGAAAAGTGCTATTATGTCAACAAACTCATTGGATGTTTTCTTTATCCTTGCCACTGTACTAATGTGAGATAATAGTCTCAGTACGTCTGAACGTAAGTACAGAAGCACTGTGCAACAGGTACTTCCACGTTTTCCATCCATCCATCAATCCATCCCTTTTTTCTCTGCTTATTTGGGCCTGGGTCAAAGTAGTCCAGATGTACCAGGTCAGCCAGGTGGCAAGCATTGTGTTCAACTTCCATTCAGTGGACCATCTGCGGTTCCCCATATTTTGTGTTGATTCCTCAGTACTAAAGCTCCTTTTCTAGAGATGAAAAAAGATAGATATTAAATAAGACATTTTCCACAGCAGGAACAATATTCTTGACCATTGTGAACGTGCTGTGCTGCTCACTTGTTTTCAGTGTTTTACAGAAGATAATTAAATTTGATGAATAAAAAATTGTCACTGCACTACTTTTTGTTGTGTATGTAAAGATCTTGAGAGCACTGGAAGATCTTTATATTTCCTTAGTTGAATCACTTAAAGGATCCAGTCTGTGTCTGATGAGTTGGGAATGAGAATGGGCTGTGAAGTGTGTAGGAGAAACTAAAGTGGCTGAGAAACTCGCAAAAAATGTTAGATGCCCTTTGTACAGCCAGTGTTTGGTTTGTCCATTTTGGGTTACTGTAGAAACATGGCAGTTCAACATGGCTGGCTCCATGGAAGACGACCCACAGTGCCTGTAGATAAAAACGGCTCATTCTTAGGTAACAAAAACATAACGATTCTTGTATTGAGGTGATTACTCACTAATGAAAACATACCTATGAATATTTTATTTCCTTTCTGCCAATAGATCCTCCTAAATGTTACACACTGGACCTTTAAAGACAAGACAAAAGCACCAATTTATCCACTAGTGGATGCTGCTGCTGAAATCAAAACTCCTATGTCTCTGCTCTGTGAAGCTGTCTGACTGAAGTAATCAAGCCTCCAGCTATCCTGTAGCAAGTTCCTCGTCTGTATGTATCAGGAGACTGAGGCACAACTTCACTGCCAGAGTCCAGTGATCAAATTAGCCCGCATAAAGGATGTCAAACCCAGGGCACCAATGAGGGGCTCTGATTCAGGGATGAAATGTGCAGGACCTGATTGCTTTCCTGTCAAAAACTGCTCCTCTAGGAAAGAAAACACTCTCTTGTCTTCATTGTAATTCAGTCAGTGAGAAGCACAATGCATTTGGAAATGCAAAGTTAAATTAAAAGCATATCTATTACCCAAAGCCAAACATAAGAATATACTCATCTTGTCTGAAGCTGAGCCAACAGCTGCAAAAACAGATAGACTTTCGCTGCAGACAGATTAAAAACAAAGAGCGAAGCACCTACAAGGGATTGTGTGAGATACACCAAAAAGAACAGCATGCCTCCTCATCCACAGCCCACAGTTGATTCCCTGCCATCTTCAAATCCTTTTTACAAAGCTGAAGGAAATAGTTCTTGGCATTTTTTGGGATACCACTTCGAGTCTATGCGATCATTTTGTCTTTTTAATACATACTGTCAGTGAGTTGGTGCTTCCATAACTCACTAAAACTTTGAGATACAAACAGAACTACAAGCTTTAAATGCTCAAGACTCATGTCAACTCTTTTTTCTTATCTATTCTCTTTGATGAAAACACTGAAGCACAGTCCTAAAGCCCATGACTCCAGAGGGCTTGCTCACAGATTCCAATTTCCCAGCACAGTGTAGTATATGGCTATAATTTTGCTGTGCTGCATAAGGGAAGGGAAAGAGAGAGTGCATGTTTGTGTGTGCCATTTTTATTGTTATGATTGTTATTGCTTTTCTTGGGTCAGTATGCGCTACATACTATTGTAAATCCCATAACTAAACTAAATACAGCACCGGTACAACTGTTCATCATTATATAAGTTATTATACTATTTCTACTTTGCCTTTATGTATATTTTTGATAAATAGCATTCAACTTTCAACAAAATCACGTACAAATGTATGTATGCTGGTTTGTGCTTTAAGTATGTAATGTTAGACAGAAGCACTGTGCATACAGAAAACATGTTTACTTTATAATTTCTTAATGCTTTGGCAATATTGTCTTTGTTACATTTGTGCCAATAACGCCGACTTAATTGAATTGAATTGTATGCGCAGTATAATCTTGGTATCCAATACAATTATACATCTTATCAGATTAAAGTCCTACCCTTATTACCACTTTATTTTTTTACATATTATATAAATGGTGCTCTTTACTGTCTTACTCTCACATTTTGAAATGCTTCTTAGTAGCTCACTAAGTGTAATTCCTCTCGAATCAGTGAAGAACATTCATGCCATTATCAGAATTTGGTACTTGACAGCATTTCATCCATTGAAGAAGAAGAATGCATCTGTTGAATCAAAGACAAAGCATTTGCAGGTTCTGCTGTGCAGAGCTCACTGTAGTTCAGATATTAACTGTTTGCTGTCTTCACCCGAAAAAACAGCAGCATTGTTGCTTGTTGAAGTGCCTTAAATCTATAATGTTTACGTTTTCATGCAAATAGTGAAGTCCTCTCTCAGAAGCAAAGGTAGAAGTATTGTGACACTGTTTTAATGCTGCAAAACCTCTTAGGAGGTGGAAGTTTTGTTGTACAAATAGTCTGACTTTGTCACGAGAAAACGTGGTTTACATCCAGTTTCCTACCAACAGTGAGCATTAGTTTCTTTCACCCATGACCACTATCTGTCCCTAACCTCAGCTATAGAGGTGGCAGATCAGAAAATGCTCCTATGAAACGGTTATATTGCTCATTTTGGAAGCCACTGACAAATAACCTGTTTTATGGTGTGAGAGCTTGTTTGAATGATCATATACAGTAAAATCCATAGCCACTGGAACACAAAAAAGACATTTTTCTTGAGCGTATTAGGCTGAACATTATTTAGCAAATTTAGCTGCAGCACCCTTTGCACCCCTACTTCCCATAGTTTTGGTAAAAGTGAAGTTCCGGAGAAAGATGGAGAATCGCAGAAAGAGAAAGTTTTTATCGAGTTTGCCTCTCTGAGAGCAATTAGAGTGAGTTTAGGACAGCGTCAGAAGAACTGCACTCACTGAGAGACGTACTGTAGCAGCCGTCTGACAGTCACAGATAAAACCATTACTTTGTCAAAATCAGGGCAGTGACTTTACTGTTAGTTGGCCTTATTTGCTGCTGCCTTTGCTTTAACATTGTTTAACATGGAAGCCAATTAAGACCCAGACTCAAAATCTGACAATTTGTTCTTCCATTGTTTCTTCTTTTCATTATTCTTCCTTGATACACATCTTAAGAAGGGAGAAATATTGTATCTTACACTGTAGACAAGCCAACCACATAAAGTGACTAATTTTAGCTCATAGCTTCAAGTGAAGAAGTCCTCAGGGAGCAGTTTGATAAGCCTGGAGAGAGAGAGGACAGGTTTTTCAGACAGCTGTACTGTACCTCCTTTTCAGATACTTTGTCATTTCTCCACCTTCACTCCCTCCATCTTCTCCTCCATCCCTCCCCCAACCCTCCTCCCCTCATAGTCACTGTACAGATAATGAGGTTTTAATGTAGTAAATTTGATATGGCACAGGGAGGCAGGATTTTTACCCATTACTTATCTCTGGCTTCCAGACCTTCCCAGATGGGCTGCCCCCTAACCTTTTCACTATGGCGAGCATAGCTCCCCCCCACACACACACCTCCAAATCCAAACCCCAACCCGACACAATACCCCCATTTCTATGGCCACTTCCAAATATAACTCTCTATCTTATTCTCTCACAGCTTTTAACACTGAAAACTCTGTAGTTGTCCTTGTGTCGTGTCCTAATTATGACAATAATAGTCTGGCTGGTCGTAGTAGAGTATATTAACAGTCCACTACTAAGAAATTAGAGCGTAATGATGTTAAATGCAGTGTATCAAGGTACTGGATTAACACAGGATTTAACACTAATAAATGACACAAGACATGTCATATAATAGTAACAATAAAGATACCCACAAGCTGTAACAAAATGGGTTTAAGACCATTGAGGAGGAAATTGGTATTTGTTATTAAAAATTACAATGGTAACTCAATCATTTTCTTTATGTCTTCTTTTCATGTGCCTCTCTCTTTCCACCCCCAACCCTCACTTTCTTCTCATTCTTTTCCCTCCTGAACTCTCCTCCTCATCACCATCATCTCTCTTTCTCTCCTCTTCGCTCTGCCGCCGACCCCTCCACCTCCTTCATCCTCACGGCATGATTCCCTCCCCCTCCTTTCAAGCCATCACCACACCATATCTGACGTTCCCTCTGGACCGTTTCGATTTTGCTGCAGTAAAACCTTTTTATCTGAAGGAAATGGGTGAGAGGAAGCATAGAAGGAGGGCATAGAAAGATGGAGGTAAAAGGTTGTAGCCTTGGGTTTATGAGATTGGCCTGATAGGTCTGATACCTAATTCACCTCAGGAGGAGAAGTGGGCAGAAAGAAGAGCAGATATGCTGGTGGATCTGTCTCTGTGGGCAATAGCTAATTAACTGTATTATGAGTTTGTTATATTTTAACAAGACTAGGTCAAAGAGGTGGGATAAGAGATAAGAAGTCACGAAGAAGGTAGTTGTGGACAAAATGACTGACGACTGGAAGTTAGACTGGAGGGGTGAGGGAGGCAGAAGGAGATTTAAGGTTTAGTAGAGAAGTGTGAGGTCGGAAATGTGCTTCAGAAATTATAATGTAATAAAGAGCATGGAAATTACAGGAAAACATCTTTTATTTTTCAACCCTTGTGGTGTCTTGCATTGCAGATAATTTTGGTTTTATGTGCCGAGGTTTTGAATTATGCCCTTTTCGCTTCCTCTCCGTCACCACCCGAGTGAAATGGTAGTAAATGGAATTCTGTTTGTGACATTGACATTTACAAAATTTAATTGCAACGTGTCTTTCCAGAAACAATGACCCAGTATCTCTACAGAACTTACTTTTCATTGCGATAACATAGAATCAGTCCCAAACAAAACTGATATTTGACTTATTTGAGTAAAATGTACACTATTTTTGCAAAGGGTTTTTTAAATATCCATCAAATAGCCATCTACTTCTGCTGTTATAGGGCAATTACATTAATTACATATTAAAACAAGGCTAGGTTACCACTTTTAGAGTAACTTAACAGCTTCTAACTTCTCACCTTGCTGCTGTAATACAGAAGTGCACTCCTGGTTATGTCAGTACACTTTTAGGTGTGGTAGCAGATGCAACCGAGCAAACTGACCACATCAGTGACGCTGGATGTTCTCAGAGGTAAAGAAAAATGGGTTTCCTCCTGATATTAAGTTACTGTTCAAGGGTCAGTTCACTCAAACACAAAATGTTTTGGTTTTATGTGCCGAGGTTTTGAGGAAGTTACCAAAAGATTTCTGCCCCCAGCCCAATACAATGAACGTGAAGAGATTTTTACTTGGTACACAAAAAATTATCATTTGGAAATAAATTATAGCAACATGACCCAGTCATGGACAATCTACATACCTCTTTACTTTCATTGTCACCTTCAATGGAAAATATGTAACCGACGTCAGTAAATAACTGGGACAAAATCTCTTGAAAAAATAGTTTTTATATGTAATCTTTCTTTGCTCTCAGTACCACAAATGAAATTCCATTCGCCTGCATTGTATTAGCGTGGAAGTAGATATCTCTATATGGACAAATAACCAGGTGACTTTAGTAATTTGGTGAACTGATCCTTTAAGGTGTAAATGAATAGATAGATATAGATAGATATAATTCAAGTGTGTGGAGCGCAGAAACAAAATGTAGTTGAGGGTATTTAAACTGTTCTTTTTTATTGTTGGAAAAAGACAAAGAATGTGATGAGACTGGCACAGTGTGACAAAGATCCACAATGAATTCAAACTCAAGATGTTGCAGTTACACCATCCTGCCAGGATGTCTTCATGTCACAGCCTGAAAATGGTGAATGTCTCAGTTTGGACTGGAACTTTGGAAGAATTTATCTTGTCTTAGCTGAAGGCCAAAACTGAGTACTAAATTTAGTCTCTCTTAATATGTGACTGAACAGACTATTACAGTCTGTCTTGGATCGCTGTGAAACATATTAATGTGTCTCTCAACCTACTCTTCAGTCCCAGTTGTCAGAGCTGAACAGTTCAGTGGTCCAGAGCGAAACACCCAATGTTGTTCTGGAGGGTCTGAGGCCTGGGACCGGCTACGTGGTCCAGGTGAGGGCTCGCACTGTGGCCGGCTACGGAGCCTACAGCAAGGACATGCTCTTCCAAACACTCACCGACGGTAAGTGGGTGGGTGGGTGGCTGGAGTGTGTGGAGGTGTGTGTGTGTGTGTGTGTGTGTATGTCGGTGGAGATTTTATGGTGAAGAGGAAAGAGAGTGCAGGACTGAGAGAGGGAATTTGAGAGGGTGAGCAAGAGTGAAAATCTGGCTGTGAAGTAATTAAATTCTGCCCTACTTTGTGTGTGTGTGTGTGTGTGTGTGTGGCATGAATTTGTGTGTGCTTCCAGTCATGTAAAATGAGCCTTGCAAATGATATTTAATGTGTGTTTGAGAGGGAGAAACTGTCAGGTATATATTTTCCCTTCCAGAAATGCTCAGTTGTGTGTATGTGAGCGAGTCTCAAAATAATAATAACCTCTCTTTCCGTGTGTGTGTGTGTGTGTGTGTGTGTGTGTGTGTGTGTGCGCAGATGAGTATAAGTCAGAGCTGGGGCAGCAGCTCTCCCTGATTGCAGGCTCTTTAGTAGGTGGAGTGTGTATCGTCTCATTGGTAGCAATCGCCATCATCTGTACCAGGTAAAAAACATACACACACATATATACACACTCTTACACACACCGCCCATCTTCTACAAGTACACACACACAAATCCTGCGTGTGTGTGTCACAGGAATATCCTAACTGGTAGAATTAATATCCTGTTACAAACGTTACATAGTTTGAAAAAAGGGGAAAATCTGATTATATATATTTCAGTATGCCAACTGTTTTTTGGCCTTTTACACAGCAGACATTTTGACTTATCACAGTAGAAAAGCACAGGTGTTACTGATACTAACCCTGAAACAGAAGCAGCTGAATGGAACTCAGCCATCATTAATTTACACCTGTGCTTTTCCTACTGTGACATGTCAAAATGTCTGCTGTGAAAAAGTGAATTATTTTAGCAGAGCTTTCAACCACATCTCACAATCTGGAGCGTCAGTCACGTGATAACAGGCTTTATGATCCCCACCCCCTCTATATGACCATCTGTTGTCATGTGAAGCTCCATGCTTTGGTCATGTGATCATAACTGAACGATCTCCATGACAACTGAGCAAACTGTATCTGCTGTGGAACACTATGAGATCTGGTTGAAAGGTAGTAAGTGTGCATTGAGTTAAGCATAAACTCTCACATTAAGCATTTATTTTATTTTATTTTATTTTTTTACATTTACATTTTGAGAAGCCTATTTGAATTTTCTAACAATTTTCCCTAACATTGTTTGCATAAAAGCTTTCCTTACAACAAGAGAAGAGTAAATGCCAGTGAACAACAAACATTGGAATTTAAAAAATCATGTGAATATCAATTTGAACCGATTTTCAAGTTATTAGTTGGTATTTTGTTGTAAAAATTATTATTAATTAAAATAATTAACCTGTATAAACTACTCTACTTTTTGTGTAGCCATATGCAACTACATACTGTATGTGTACACATTAAATAAAACCTTGATAAATTATACGATATTATGATACATTACATTAAAATCTGAATATAATGCGGATAGAATGGCCTGTGTGTGTAAGTAATTACTAGAAATGGAAGCATAATTTAATAACAACACTAACAATAATGACATAGCTTTTGCACACAAATGATTTCATTTGATTCCACGACGAGTTTTAAAGTAGATTGTGACTTTTTTCAAAGTTTCTCGACGACCTCCCAGAAATAGCAAGAGACTGGCTCTCTCCCTGTATGCAGTATAGTATGTCTGCTGCGAAGATCAGTTGATATTAAAATATTACAGAGCGCATTTCTCTGGCTCCATCCTCAGATGAAAGCAGGAAACAAAAGCTGACAACACAGAACAGTAACAAGTCACCCAATACTAATGAATTCCTGAAAGACTTTTTCCTTCTCCCAAGCAGACTTTTTTTTGACATTCAGTAGGACTATTTTCTTTACCTCAGCTGAAGAGAAGACAACCAATTAGAATTTCTAACTTTTGTGTAAAATTTCTCTGTGCTTTCCTCTTTCCCAAAAATCTCTTGGTTTGTCTTTCTGTCTGTAGAAGGAGACAGTTGAAGGAGAGTGTGTACGGTGACAAGCTGCAGCAGTACAACACAGGAGGAGGTACGACCACGACTGAAACTTTAAATCAGTTCTACTTTCATATATGTTTACACACACCAAACTTGCAGAACAGAGTTTATATTTGCACTTTCTAATTTTCTCCTCAGAGGTGACTCTGAGGCCTGACATGTTCAGCGGCCCCACCCCCACCGTGACCTTTCCCACCCTGTCTGAAGGTCACAGTTCACCAGGGGTCAAGATCTACATCGACCCTTTCACCTACGAGGACCCCAACGAGGCTGTCCGGGAATTTGCCAAGGAAATCGACCCCTCCTGTGTCAAAATAGAGGAAGTCATTGGATCAGGTAGAGATTATCATAGACTCTGTGTCTTTGACCCTTGGCTTTCCCTTTCCTCTCTCATGTTGTTTCTACAAAACATTAAAGCTAAACTCAACAAATACATAAAACTCCATGATTTTTTTATATGAGTCAAACTTTGCAATCATAATACTTGCTTTTGTTGAAAAGTAAAAAATCACCCTTCATATCTACTATAAACTGCTCCTAAAGTGAACGTTATAAAAGTAAACCTTGGCTCCTTTTAATGAGCCCGACTGTCACTTGAAACAGCAGGTACTCTACATTAAATGAATCAATTTCTTCAACTGTGCCACACTGTTGTGTGAATGAAAAAGATCTGGAAACAAGCAGTACCAATTTATTATTTTGCTTTATTTTTTTCCTTTGAAGTCAGGAGAGATGTTTTATTCATGCTGAAAACTTTCACCGGAATAAATTAAAACTGTCTTCATGCATTCTCTTTGGCTATCTGAGCTCTCACTGTAAAAATGCTGTGTGATGTTTGGCAAATAGAGAAAGTTGGATGTGAGATGGAGTCCCAGAGCATCCTCTGAAATCTTTTTGGGGGGGCAGAGTTTTTTCATTTCAGCTGTCGGATGGAAAAATGAAAAAAGGATGGAAACGAGAAACAAAAGAAAATAAGGAAAAAACTTTGTTTACAGTTGCTCAGATCAAGTGTCTTATTTTACCTCTGATCCTTTAGTACTGCCCTTGTCAAAAATAAATATTAAACCTAAATTATATTTTTAAATAGACTGAACTATACTACTTTTTGACCCTGGTGAAACTATGTCAAACTAACCTTCAAGAATTTCATTATTGCTTCATTGTCCCCAAGGGGATTCAAGTCAGATGAAACACAGAATACACAGATTTGAGCATAAGATGAATAATTTAATAAAATACAAATATGTAAAACACATGCTAAAACCCACGGCATAAAACGTATAAATAGGTTCACAAAATGAATTGTACATCCAGTGACAGCACAATATAAACCGGGGAGAGAGAGGGAGAGAGAGGGAGAGAGGCGTGTGCAGTCTTTTTGTGACTGGGGTGGTACAAGTGGGGTACTGACTCATGCAGGAGTGACATGAAGTAGGTCTCTCAGCTTTCCAGTTATTCCCAATTTCTGCAACTAGTGACCCCATTACGCAGAAATATTCAAGGCGTTCATACAGCATGCAAAACAAACTGCATGCCCCAAATTGCAGGGAATTAGCACAAAGTGGGCATGTTTGTCAAAGGAGACTTGTGCAATGTAAATACTATGGGTACCCTAGCACCCATAGTATTTTACATTCAGATATCTTGAGGTCAGAGGTCATGGGATCCATTTGAAAATTCCCATGCCAGTTTTTCCCCCTGTGAACACACCCCTGCATCCAACCATCCTCATCCAATCCAGTCATCAATTGTAGGGCTATATGTGTAAAAAGAAACATTTGGATATGCAAACTTTGTAATCTCAAAGGTAAGTAATTGTCACTTCTATCACTGTGGTATTCCTCAGATCAAACTCACATCTGTTCATGATTTAATTATGCCTTAAGAAACTATTTGGGAATACGAAATACTGAAAAATAACCTCATAGTCTGTCCCAGAACACAATCAAATGATAATTTCTTGTCACAAGCAGATTTTTAAAGTTGATATTAACACTTAATGTGGATTCGTTTTGCGGAAGATTTACGAATGAATAACTTATTCAAGGTCTCAAAGATGTAGGTCCTACATCATTTCTGTATCATTCTTTCAACTTTTTTTTTTAATGAAAGCATTACCATCTCTTGTAGGGGCCAAGTTGATAACATTGAACTGCCCCAGGGCCCCAGACCTCCAAAAGTCCCAGGTTCACTGTCTTTTGGAAGGAGTACAATATAAACTAAGGTGCATTAGTCTTGTATGCGTCCTTGTGTCAAGATCTAATTCATTATTTTAGTTTATATTGCCCTCAAGTGGGACATCAAATGGTCCAATTACCACTGACTAATTGATAACAAATTTAATGATGAATTAGTGTCTTCTACCTCAAACCATAATAGATGGAGGAATGTTTTTACTCCAAATGTTATCTCCCGGAAAACTTTTCTTTTTTTCTTTTGCTTTGGACCAAAACCAATCAAACCCAAATGGCCATGGAGCTCTGGGTGATAAAGGTCATGAACCAGATTCAGCCTCTCACCGCTGAGAGTATGTGCTTTCGGCTTTGGTCTGTTGAGCCACTCTGAGAGGCTTTCCATAATCCCTCCGTTTCTCGCTTTATTTCTCTCAGGGGAAGGTTTCTCACCTCAGCCAGAGGTGACAGAGGAGGGATGAAAACGACGGGAGGGAGAGGAAAATATGAGCCCGGGTGATTGAGATGTGGCTGGACTTTGAGCACTTAAATGGTCGAATCTCTCTCACTCTATTGCGAAAGTACAAATTTATCCACATCTCTCTTTTTCCTTCTCTCCGACTTTATCTTTTTGCTTTTCTTTCTGTATTTCTTTGATACTTCCCCCTATCTTCATCTCTCTCTGTGATTCAGCCCCTCCAGAGTTTTGGAGGTTGTTTGCGTATAGAGAAATGCTAAAACAAAGAACCAAGGGGGAAAAAGGCAGAACAACAACAGATTGAGGAGGGAAGATAAAAGAAGAAAGCACCCCAAGGAGACAGTAAAAATATCTCACCTCGCTCTCTCTTCCTCTCCCTCTGTGATAACACCCCTCTCTTTTCCTCATTCCTTATTACTATCATCCACACTGTAAGAAATGTCATTCCTAAAAATCACTCTATTTGTCTCAAGACAAGTCCTGAAGCACTTTAAAGAAAGAAGCTATAATATCTCACATGACAGACCAGTTAATTTACTACTCAGATGTTCTGCAGATTTAAGATTTCAGAACAAAACCAATGAATATTTATTTTTTTGCTCGAACTTCTCCTCGACCACCTTTTTTTTCAGAAAAGTGACATGTCATATGATCTTGCCTCGCTTTGCGAAAATTACTGTTTGCGACCCTTCTCCATCCATCCTTCCGTACCTTCTTCCCTCTTCTCCGTTATTATCAATACCGTCTCATTTTCATCCTTCACTCTTTCACTCCCCCATCTCTCCTTCTTATTTTCCCCTCCATCCATCTCCACTTCTGCTGGTTTACAGCGGTGACAGTAGATAGTTTTTAATGAGCAGTGAGATGTGGAGCAGAGATCACAGTGAGACAGGACGACACAGCCTGTCATCCAATTCCCATCACTCATCCATTATTCACACACTGATTTTTATCTCAGGGATGAGGACTTTTATTTTGAAGTGGTATTCAATTTTCATGTCCCCAAGCAGCATATGGCTGCATTTATTTTGACAAAAGACATCTGTGTCTTCAGCACTGTAAGGAAATGTTCTGTACATTGAACAAGTTCAAAGCATCGAGGTTAAAATCAGTTCATATTCTTGTAACCAATCAAATCATTTTACAGATCAGTGTAGCAATGCATGAAGAGAGACACGTGACCAAGAGAATGCAGCTTTATATAAATAAGTGTTACAAATCTCCTGGAGCTATCAGTTACACATACACAACATCCATAAAACTTTCCATGTAAACATCAACTGAGGTTAATACAGAGATTGACGGTAGATAAGTACGGTTGCTCACACAAACTACAATTTTGAGGTACTTTCTTTATACACAAATCAAGAGAAGTACTGGAAGTAAACAACTCGCTGTGACTCAGTGGTGTTCTAACAATTTTCTACTTTTCCCTTTACTTTTACTTTTCCCTTTTATGTTCTATCTAATAAATACTATCAGAATAAACAGTTGAACAAGAAGCACTAGGATCCTCCATCAGAAGTGTTATTCAAACCATATGTGTAACTTTCAAAACTCTTTTTTCACTTTTCTGGGTGCAACACAATGAATGTCTTCCAGGAGAGAAAATATTGAAAATAGGTGCCATTGTTTACAACCATTTTTAAACGATATCCTCTCCCTTCTCTTTTTGATGGTTTGCTTTTTAGTCCACTTTCTAGTGTGGCTGCTCTCAACTATGAAGTCTTTAGATTTCCGACGTTCGTGCAATTTAGTTCTGATCGAGCTTAACCCAACGGTAAAGTCTTCTGTGACTCGGGAGGAGTCAAAATAACCCTGGTGATGTCATTATTATGAAATGTCACATAACTATAGAGAGTAAATACTAAACAGTCGAATCTTACCCACTCTAACTAGTCAAGTAGTTAATGCTAAGTAAGTGATGCTACAGGCCTCATGAACAGAGTCAGAAAATGCTTTAGCTAACAAGACAAACAGGCAAGGAATGAACCTATGAACAGCACAATCTCTTTATCCACGAGGTCACCAGGCTACCTTTGTTTTGACCACAAGATGAAAGTTGAGGTGCGATGCGCAAAGCCAAGTACCTTAGCAATAATAAAGGCACTGTCCCTTTTGTCTTGTTTGCCACTTCCGCTACAAACCTTTTCTCACCCCCGAGAGGAGCTGTGGAGGGGATTCAATTTTTGTTGTTCTTTCATTCTGCAAAAATACCATCAGCGTGCCCTTGAGTAAAGCCCTCTGCCTCAATCTGCTCGAGCAGAGCTGCTCAAAGGCCATCAGTATGAGACTGAGGGTGCACAGGCCAGCTCCCACGACTGAGAGAGTGTTTATGTGTTTAACACGCCCTGCCCCTCTCACTGCTGCCCAGCTCAGCTGCTGCAAAGAACAATATGCTCTCTCTCTTGTTTGACTGATGGAAGATTTTGAATAATGAAGGGGAGCCAAATGGTATGAACTATAGCCTTACATCTGATTTCACAGGTGACCCATTTTACATCACAAAATGTGATTAAAATGCAATTATTTATTAGCCTCTTTTATTATGTAATGATTTATTTATGGGCTCTGATTTCCAAGGAAAATTAAAAAACAACCTCAACAATGCACATGTTTTTTTCCCCTGCCAAGTCACATGCTGTTCTTAGATGTATACAGCCCCTTGTAATTTTGCTGCTAGACAGAATGCTTTAATTTAATTCTCATAATGTTTTCTCCTCCTGCAGGTGAGTTTGGGGAGGTGTACAAAGGTCGCCTTAAGCCTGTCGGTAAAAAAGAAATTCCTGTGGCCATCAAGACCCTGAAGGTTGGCTACTCTGAGAGGCAGAGGAGGGACTTCCTGTCCGAGGCGTCGATCATGGGCCAGTTTGACCAACCAAACATTATCAGACTGGAGGGCGTGGTGACCAAGAGCAGGCCTACGATGATCATCACAGAGTTCATGGAGAACGGAGCACTTGACTCGTTTCTGAGGGTAAATAACACTGTACACACACATACACACACACACACACACACACACACACACACACACACACACACACACACACACACACACACACACACACAAGATGTACGTAGATATTTTAACAGTGTACTGCTGCACCTTATACAACATTCAAGCAGTTGACAGTCTCAACCTAAGGTTCACATTCTTGCTTTTTCTGGAGCTTTCCGCTGTACAACATGGTCATCATCAGCAGATTGAGTTTGCTCAGTCATAGAAATGTAGATTTTAAAATCTTCCATGATTGTAACTAGGACTTAAAGTTTAACAATCCAAAATGTGACTTGGGGGCCCCCTGGTAGCTGCGCCCTATGTACTAAGGCTGAGTCCTTACAGCAACAGGTTCGATTCCAACTTGTGGCCCTTTGCTGAATGTCATCCCCCCTCTCTTTATTATCTCTTTTCAGCTGGTTTGACCAGATTTGATTGATAGCGACCAAAAAACCCACCAGCTCCGATCAGTGTCTGATTCATGTTGTTTTGGCAGAAAATTGCATGACGCTGATTCATTCTGGTCCATTTACACTCACATTGTGGACCTTTCAGCTGTATCACAAGGTCATCATCATCAGCAGCAGCAGATTGAGCTGACATTGTTGTGGTGCGGCTGAAAGAAAGATCAGAGATTGTTTTGTCACTTTATGAAATCACACTTTCACACTGACTTACTAGCACTCCTTAATGGTGTGGGACAGGTTTAATTTTACACACACACTGAAGCTATTAAGGGAAATTATATTCTTAATGTTATTATATCAATGCAGTTAGGTGACCAATACATTTTTTGCAAAAACACTTGGAGACAGACATAAGCACACACACACACACTAAAACACACTGTACATACTGTATGTGTTCCTGAATGTGCCTACAGCATCTATATCCACATTTATCTTCACTCCAAAGTCACATATAGTCCAAACACATAAATACCCAAACAGACAAACAGATGGAGAGGGCAAGAGTGGGAGCTTCTGGAGAAAGAGACACAAAGACAGAAACAACCTCCTGCTCTTCCTTTTCTCCTCTCTTCTCCTTCCTGTGCTCTTTCCTCTTCATCCTGCCAACATGTCTATCTGTCAGTCTGTCCGTCTCTTTGATCCTGCCCTCCTTTCGAGGCGCCTCTAAAGACAGAAAGAAAAACTCTTTGATGTTTGGTTCTCACAGCGTGACCCCTTTTGACTCAGAAATCATCCGCTGACTCATACACACAGGCGCACACACACACAGACAAACACACACTCAAACAATGATCGATCTCACTGGTGTTGCTGTCCTAGCGTGACCATCTTGCAGGCACAAGACTCAGAGGATCAATGTGTATGTGTGTGTGTTTGTGTGTACCTAGACGAAGGTTTTGCCTGCAGAGGATTAGGCTAGAGGAGCATCAAAGGCACAGTTTGATGCACAAAGTGAATTAAAAGACACACACACACACACACCTTCGACTGCAACTATGTCAGCTGGGATGTCAGTGATGTTTATAAGAGACAGAAACTGTCTGGCCCAAAGGTGAAAGAGTAAAATAGCAAAAAAGCGAACGTTTTGGGCTTTGCCAACATGTCTCATAACAACAACAACAACAAGCCTCCAGCTCCTCAAAATATGTTTGTGTATGTATATATATATATTGTTGATTTTTGATATTCAGCACAGGAATTTTAAGTGTGCACATTAAGGCTATACTTGCAAACATTCAAATGAAAGCTGTGGTAAAATACAATTGTTTCAATATTATATAAACTACTCCTATTAATTTAAATTTACACATGGCAAGGAATTACTGCAATTAAAGGATGAGTCATTTTTATATCGTATCACATCCTGTACATCTTTGGGACAGCAAAAGCCCATCGGTGAATATTATCAAAGTCCCTGACACAGAACCAGTCCCAGTTTAATTATTTCAGCTTAAAGACATCTCTGGTTAACCGAACTGTTCTCCAGAGAGAGAATTAGCATAATTAACTCTAACTTTCTTAACTCTAAAGGCCTGTTTTGAAGCCACTTGTGTATATACTGCGATACTGGTCATCCTGCTTCATTCTGTTCAAAGTGAAAGTACTACTACTACTAAAGTGCAGACATGCAGCATAAAGTAGTTCTCAAATTACAGTATCAAATATGAGTCTGCTGTGTATTTATAATCTGAATGGTGTGTTAATGTGAAAACCATGTTGACTGTGTTTTTTTGAGATGTGTCCACTGATCAGGAAGGAAGGTTTCATAATTCTTGGAGCAAACTAGCTTGTAGGAGGTTTGTTTGACCACGTCTAAGTGTTTATACCTGTTTTGACTGGCCACAGTGGAAGGTGAGCCAAAAAGCCTGCTATAATAGCCACCTCCTTACTGAATCACACTGCCTCCACCAACACTTTCTGTGCCTTTTTGAATTCTCGACACAAAGAATCCTATAAATGGAGATACAGTAAGGGCCCACACTCAAGGACAGTCTCTCCTCAAATGCATTCATACAGTAGTGTGGCACTCAGTTATTGACATGAAAAGAGCAGGGGCGGATCTAGAGGGGTGGCACGGGGTGAAAAATAATGCCTCAGTTTAGTGACAGATTTAACATTAATTTAAATCCATTTTAAACATATAAAATCTTTTATGACATGTATTTGGAAAATGTATTAAGATTAGATAGAAATCAAACACTTTTCAATGCTAACTTAGATATTTCATTATTTTGAGTTCAAATATCTTGATTTTGGACTTTTCCAAGAAAATATTGATACTATATATTGGTCATTGTTTGCATTTAACTCCGCATGTACTTCTGCCACCCCTTGAATATATCTCTGGATCTGTCCTGGGAAAGTAGTGTGTAAGAATGAAAAAGATAGCTTGAGAGAAAAGTTCAAATGATTGGCCTAGTGTGCAAAGCTGGATCTTCCACAACATGGTTGACACGTGGGTGTGAATGTTGGGGAGTCGGTTTAGGAAACTTGCAAAAAATCAGACAAAGCGCTCCAGTTCTGTTAGTGATAACACTAACCCTCACTAACAGTTTGAAGCATAGCCACTCCTTAACTCTATCCCTTACACAAGGGCCATGTTTTTTTTCACCTCTTTCTCACATCATCTTGATCACATTACAGCCTCATTTTGTAAAATGTGACTCAAATCTGGTTTGCAAAAGGTTATTTTTTTTCTTCCAAAAATTGTTTGTTATAGCTCCTGTCATGACATTTTATGTATCTTTTCACCTGCTAGACTTTCTCTAAATAACCAAAGTGAAAAGCCTGATAACAAAAAGTAAAAATAATCCTGTCACGGTTCGTGGTTTTGCAGCAAAATGATGGGCAGTTCCCAGTGATCCAGCTGGTTGGTATGCTGAGGGGCATCGCATCTGGAATGAGGTACACACACACACACACACACACACACACACACACACACACACACACACACACACACACACACACACACACACTCCTGCTCCAGAAATCCATTTTTATCATAAAGATGAATAATAAACTTTTTCAGACCTTTCAATGATTGTTGTGTGAAATTAGATTTTATATAACAATACCAATTCTAGCACACTGAGATTTCATGTGGTGATATCCAATACTCTGTGGTCGTGTCGTGTGTTATACTCAATCAGACATCTGCAGCTTGAGATGTGCTGCCTCCACATCCTGCTAACGCCTTTCTCTCTCTCACACACACACACACACACACACACACACACACACACACACACACACACACACACACTCATACACACATTAACGAACACAAACTCTATTTATTCAAGTTAAGAACACCACAACTTGGCTTGGCAGGTTGAAACACTGCTCACATACACATAGGGACACATACACTCTAGATCCTATCTGTGTTTTATTGCAGGTATCTGGCTCTGACAACACACAACCATGTACATGTACACAAACATTAAATCCCATTCCTATTTAATCAAAGGTAGCTGGCAGGGACAACACACACACTAAATCCTATTACCTTTTTAAAGTAGCCGAGGCAGCTGGCAATGGATAATACACACATTCACTCCTGTTGATGTTACAGGTACCTGGCGGAAATGAGTTATGTTCACCGGGACCTGGCTGCTCGGAACATCTTGGTGAACAGTAACTTGGTGTGTAAGGTGTCGGACTTTGGCTTATCACGATATCTGGAAGACGACACCTCTGACCCCACCTACACCAGCTCACTGGTGAGGACTCACACACACTCAGGGAACATGCAAGTGCAAATGAATGTAAAAGAGGACACACTAATGCTGCATTCTGTGGCTTAATGGTAATTTTAGATTCGGGCTTGGCTCATTTTTCATCAGTCTAAACCATACGTCATAAGCCTCAGCTGTTTCTTAGCTCAGCTGTGCTTTAAGTTAAATGCTAATGGTAGCGTTTAGAAGGTGTGCAGTAACGAGCATGCTGAGTTAACATTAATTTCGACATGCAGCTTTTCTCTGCTGTTTCTCTCTGGTTCTCTGCACGTGCATCAATACTGACAAGCTAGCAAGCCGCTTTCTTCTTAGGGAACAGTGTGTAAATAATAAACTACTATGTTCTGTAACAATTTAGATGCAGGTAACATTTTCTTTCAAACCCCTACCTCTTTTTCGGTACCATTGACGTTACAATAAATATGGCTATAATTTGCATAGTGTCAAGCCACGTTTAGGAGGTTTTCATCCTGAGGCTTTTAGAGGTATCCTTTCATAAACTTGAGTGTTGGAATAAGTGTAAATTTTGAGCTCATGGTGGCACGATACAGTATGAAAAGTCAGAGTCTTTGAGGGAACTGCTTATCGTATTTGTTAGGAGCAACGTCAGATTGTGGGGGCTGTGTCCGACCAGTTCTGTACCTTTTGGAAACCGACAATCTAACCAAACCAAGATGTAGCATTATTTCCTTTTCTCCTGACTTCCAAAATAAGCAGTTAGCAGAACAAACTTTTCGTTTACTCCCTACATTGTCTTCATTAGAGGAGATAAGAACTAACAGATGTGGCTGTGGATTAGATTCATGTTATCTTTACTACTACACTATCAAACATCTGCTATGTCTTGACTTCCACACTAGAGATAAAACTTCGGACGTAGGTGTAATTTTCTTTCTGTAATGTTAACTATCTTTGTGCCATTGACAACAGGATGTGGTGCTACAATGCAGCAGCTGACATACATGCATATACAGTCAATGTGGACATGATGTATGAAATCTAGCACACACAGAGTTCTCATAACTGCCCGGTAATAATTGTGATGGGCATTACATTAATAGTCAGTCCTCACCTTTATGTTTAAGACGTACTACGGCAGATATATGGGCTGCCTATGGCCTCTGTTAGTGCTCGGTGATGAATGTCTAATAGTAAAAGTAGAACTATATAGCTAAACATTTTTCCTTCCATCATTTCTTTCCATCATTTATCTTCTCCTCTCTTCTTCCCTTTTCTCTTTCTTCCTCTCAGGGGGGTAAAATCCCAGTGCGGTGGACGGCCCCGGAGGCGATCGCTTACCGGAAGTTTACGTCGGCTTCAGATGTCTGGAGTTATGGGATCGTCACCTGGGAGGTGATGTCATATGGAGAGAGGCCTTACTGGGACATGAGCAACCAAGATGTGAGTCACTGCATGCTGCAGAGAGATAGATAGACAGTCTTTCTCCTGTTCTTTTGTGTTCCCATTGATGTCTGTGACTGTATATGATTCTGTACGTTTGCCCTTTTTTCTGTTGCACAGTCTTTCTAGAGTGTGTGTGTGTGTGTGTGTGTGTGTGTGTGTGTGTGTGTGTGTGTGTGTGTGTGTGTGTGTGTGTGTGTGTGTGTGTGTGTGTGTGTGTGTGTGTGTGTGTGTGTGTGTGTGTGTGTGTGTGTGTGCTGGGGGTTGGGGGAGTGCTTGTTTGTTTCCTTTGCCATCTCTCACAGCAGGGTGTCTGCAAGTCTAGGAAAACACACGGAAAATGAGGACATCAATTTAGGTGTCACAGCAATGTTTGTTCCCTGGAACATCAGACCAAAAGGCATCAGAATTTTGTTTTCCAGCTGATCTTTTCTTCTGGGAATATTTTATTGTCTTGACAACTTTATTCCAATTACCTTCACAGTGTGATCAATTTGCCCCAGCATTTTTATATCTTATTTTTTTCTTTTTGCTGGGATCACAGTTATTGTGTACTGTTATTAAGTGCTTTGAGGTTAGATTTATCCCCATTTTTTTAGGCTGGAAATGATTGCCGGTTTTTGGCTGGTCCGCAGCTGGTGGGCCCAGCCCTTAGAGACACGAGTTACTTAGTGAGTGATAAAGTCACACCATTGGTCCAGTTGAGTTTTGGAGTTTCCTGATTGGCTGTCACTCTTTCAAAATGAAAAAGCCACAAACGAGACCGGATGTTCATATCGGAAGCACATTTCTCTCCGCCGGTCAACAAGGGATTCTGCTCCTCTGCTCTTTTCTAATCACACGTAGAGCTGATCATCTTCTGCAACAATGAAGTTAAATAAAAAGGACCATGTAGTGATGATTGCGAGTAGAGCCTTCTCTCCTGCCTGCCTCTGTTTAGACATAACTGTCAAATATGTGGAATAAGTACAACATTTTAAAAAACAGCAGTGATTAGATTAAATTCAACTTTATTCTCATTGCACAAAGTACAAGTACTAAGACAATGAAATGCAGTTAAGCATCTAACCAGAAGTGCAAAAGGCAGTAAAGTGCAGAGTAATGTCCATATGTACAGGGATATTTAAAAAAAATTACATTATCGATATATATATATATGAATATACTAGCAGGATATATACAGTATAAACAGCATAAACAGAATGAACTGAGTGAAGTGATTACACTAAGATATATACAGCTATTAAGATACTATTGCTGATAAGTAGTGGATGGGCAGATTTTAATATTCCATCATGTGGGGTTAAAAAAGAAACGGGGGAATTGAAATTGAACAATGGCGAGAGGGACTGAAAAATCTGAAAGGTTGGCAAGCATAGGATGTATATTTCATTATTTCTTAGAATCACATCCTTTAATATTTCATTTATATTGTTTATAATAGATTTCCAGTGAGTTTTTTATTGCCAGATTTGCTTGCGGCATGCAATAATAGAACAGACAACAGAATCGCTGAAGATTGCGAGCTGGCCACGGAGCTCTGCACCACAGCGTGCTCTGTCTGAGAATCCCAATTGGTTAACATGGGCACAGAAAGAAAACCAGCCAGCGCTTCCACCTCCAACAGATCTCCATACGCCTAGAGGCATGGGAGAGCAAGCACCCCAACAAAACACTCAATACAGAGTGAGTCGCAGAGAGAGAGACGATAGAAACAAATGAAAAAGCAGGTGGAGTTGATAGATAATTAAAATCGCGGTAATTATAGTATGTTCTCTTATAATAACATCCTAAGATATGAGTGGAAAGTATTGTTCTGTTCATTTCTAACATATTTTTACTCAAACGTAGCTTAACCATATATGTCATGTGATCTGCTACTTCAGTACAACTTAAGAACAATTACTACCACTACAGAAAATTGCAGATGAACATTTAATTTCCTGGTGTGTGCACAGTCCTCTGCTGTTCAAATATATTATAAAAACTACTGTCTCATCCTTTCTTCAGGCTGAGTATTCAATTTTACTGTTTAAACCTAAAGGGATCACATACAGTACATGCAAAAGGAGGTTCCAGAAGATCAGATTGCTGACATTTTTATTTTTAGGTTTCTATTCCGAGAAGAAATGTGATACACAGATTATAGCGAGTTTTGGCACTAAAACCCACATCAAAGCTCTGAGGCTCTAAATCCCAATTCTTGCTTTCTGAAACTATATATCTAATGGCTTTGACACACAGGATCCTGGGAATTTTACCAGCCTCCAGTTTGTGATGATTTAAACCTTTAAAATACATTGTTGTTGCTTCAGAAAATCTTCCAAACATTTCTGACAGGCTTCAGTTGTGCTTATCACCTGGAAGATATTCTTAATAAGCTGTTTTGTCTTATTTTTCCAAGTAAGTAACATTTTTGAGACCAGCTACACTCCTGCAATGTTTAACCTGCTTTAGACCTCATTAACATGGACTATATGTGAAGTTCTGGATCTGGTTATCTCTCCCACTGATCAACGGCAAGATCTTCTTTCAACATTAAGACAGACAAACATTTTCAGCTAATAAAACTAAATAATTTGAAAATTTCTGTCTGCAGAGAACCATTTCCCTGTCTAGCATCTACATCACCTTAACCGTCTCTTGCCCCTTATTTCACACTTTCCCTCTGCCTCTTACCTCCCCCCTGCTGTCTCTCCTCACCTCCTCCCTTGCAGCCTCACCCCTCATTCCCCGATGGTTGATCCTGAGCAATAGAACCAGTCTATGCAGCAGTAATGACAGAGAGTCAGTATAATGACAGAGACAGTTTTATAATGGCACAGACAGTGTATAATGATGGTGAAAGTGTGTGTTACCACTATAGCTAACGAGGGTCTGCTGGGGCATTAACTATGCATGAACCTCACACCCTAAACTCACACATACTACACGCACACAGCTAAACTGCACACATGCATGCCGGCGCGCATAAAGGCGCACACACAAGATTTCAAAGAACACCGAACGGTGAAATTGTCAGCGGAGCCACCACAGGTGCTGTGTTCGACATGAATTAATCATGAAAGAGACCTGTGATGTTTTACTACACTCGCTGCTATTTTGATTGACAGCCGTGCTTAGAGAGAATTTATGCGGCACAAAGCCTGAGAAGTGTGTCGGGGTCAAGTAGAGTTCACCCAGCACGCAGACAAATCCCTGGCGCTGAATTTACAGTAGTAGGAGCTTCGCATTCCCTCAGCTTACTGTTATGTAGGCTTACAAATACACTGACACGGGCTTTTAACTTTAAATCTACGGGAAGCTCTGAAAAAGACAAGGAACTTTGGTAAAGGAACAATCGGGCATTAAAATGTGAACAAATACATTGCAGCACATCAAAACTCAAGACACAGTGCAGACACGGCTCAAATAGGCGAGGTTTGGACTCAAAAGCTTGAATCACAGAACAGGTGGAGTTAAGAGAGGGTTTATTGCTGTAGGTCAACGATCAAAGCAAAGAGAGGCAGACAAGTCCAATGGGGCAAAAGCTGGCAGGCAAAAGTCCAGAAACAGGCAGAGATCATAAAATAAGTCAGACAGGAACTGGAACACTTTAGCACGATGCAACTAACGGGGCGGGAAAACTGGGGAAGATAATGAGGGAATGAGGAGCAGGTGTGCAGATGGATGTGGAGGTCAGGCATGGGGAATGGTGGAAATACACTTGAGACAAAGGGGGGATGGCAGGGTATGAAATGCCAGAGACAGTTAGTGACCAGCAGACGAAAAAGGTATAACTGGAGTAGTGCAGTAGAGCGCAGATCTCCACCAGAAAACAGATGGTGAAGCAACTGCCAGATGCAACCAGTGATGTTTTAAGTGAAGTTTTTTTTGTAGTGTGTAGTATAATGTTTCTTATGCAGATGTATGAGTGCTTGTGTAGTATAGTCAGTTTTTTGTGAGAGTCATGGAATGGTGTAAAGGTATTGTAACTGAGCGCCAAACTGTATAAACCGACCTGCCTCTCCCATCCCGAACAAAGAACTGTCCATTCCGGCTCCTCTACAGTCACTTTATACACTCTATATAAAAAGGACAGTGTCAGATAAATGTGAGACTTGTAACTGCAAGGTATCTGTTGAACATATACTGAAAAGAGAAAGATTGAGCATCAAACGTCTGTTAGAGACAGGACAAACGATTACAGGTTCAAAGGGTTTTATTTAAATATTTTAAATGAAACCTGTTTAATATCCAGGATATAACTTCTTTATAAAGTCAGGTATAAAACAGAGCAGTCAATGAAGTAGTAGGTTTTTCAAGATTTTTTGAAACATTACAAATCACTGCAACCACAGGAGGTCTTTGGGCATAAATGTGTACACAAATATGGGGCTGATGGATCCAGTAGTATGCAAAATTAGCTGTGGACACATAGACACACAGACACACGAAGACACACATGATCCCCTCCTTACACCTAGTGAAGATAATACAGAAAATGTATTGACCTTAAGCATAATTAAAGTTGGTAATCTCTGTTCTGATTCCTTGAAACCTGCACTAAAAGCTTATGTGCCATTTATAAATATATATTTATATATAAATTTTACAGTTATGTGTGAATATTTCTGCAGTTTTGTAAAGCCACAAAACACTCACTGGGCCTCCAAAGAATAAAGTGTGGAGGGTGAGAAGAAAGATGTTAGTAACTATGTGATGTGTGAAAATAGCTGAAAGATACATATTATCTGAAGGCTTTACAAATACAGAACATGTCCTCAGCCACTTGTTTGAGCCATTACATTACACAACAATGTGAATTTTAAACATTACAACCATCATAATTAGAGTTAGTGAGACATTTAAAATGTTATTCTCACGTCTCTGGCACAAGGGGCAGAATAATTTGTGATAACTGCACTTGATATTTTCTTTCTTTGATAATTTCTGTAGGATGACAAGGCAGCTACTAAGTCAAAGGAATTCAGAATTTTGTGATTTTCAGGATAATTGCATTCTTCATCCAAATGTATGCTGGCAAATTTAGCACAACCTCTCTGCAATACAAAATTCCTGCCTAAAAGTTTTCACAGGAAAAACCTTGAAAGGTCCTTATCGTTCTCAATACCTCCACTGGCATAATGAAATCAGAAGCTCCTCTTGTAAAACTACCTGCCTTGACATCAGAGACTGCGGCAGGCGTCATTGCTTCGTAGTGATGAATATCTGTACATACTGAGTGACTGCACACTGCCAGGATGAAGTTCTCGAATGGAAATTGAATCCTCCTAACTAATCCCAAGTTTTCATATTTTTTTTTCTGTGGTTTTAAATAAAGCTGAACGAGGCAAAATTCTTCCGTAAAAATACACCTGTCTCATCAGCCAAAATCACAAAGGAGCTGTGACAGAGAATACCCCCTCCCCCAGCGAACTGTTCTCTGCCAACAGGAAGTCACAAATCACAACTTGACAGCAAAATATAAAGTGTCCCCTAAACAGCAACGAGAGAGCTGGACTCAACTTTGGATGTTTTTGCCTCTTTCTTCCCTTTGATATCCTTAGCGTCATAGACAAGCACCATGCTGAGTGCAATTTACTGATGTAATATCAGAAAAATAGATTTCTCTCAGAATATTTTCTCCCCTCCGTCACTTGTATCTCCCATTTCCCCTACTTGAAAAGTCTGTAAAAAAAAAAATAACAACATACAACTGTCAGTTGGAATATGTCAAATATATGTTTAAAAAACAGAATTTTTAAATATAAATTAATATATTTTCCCTTCCTGTAAATATTTTTCATAACTTATCCTGCAGTGATGGCCATATACATGCATTTATCCAATTATATGTGAGTTTACAGCCACCAGCTAAGTATATAAAACTACACTTGACCTCATTAACTTGTGCGTCATAGCAGTTAGTGCAACAATATCATAGGTCACACGAGTGTTTGGATATCAGTATGCAGAAATGGTGTTTACATTTCCAAACCTGCCATGGATGCAGTCTAAGTGGCTGGAAATTATTCATTTCTCCCTCTTTCTCTCCATCCTCAGCCAACAATAAGGGTGATGGAGGTATGGGTGGAGGCAAATACTCCTGTACAATTGAACCCAGTTTCAAACTGCGGCAGTTCCCCAGAGACTTCGTGCTCATTAAGTCAAGACCACTTTCTAGCTATCAAATCCTTGAATGATTTGATCAAATCTCAAAATTATACCCTGCCCACATATCCCATTACACTCAGAACATTATGGAAGCTATAAGTTGCTTTAACTGCCATTTCACTGTGTCTTAAATATTATGATATAAAGCAGTAATTTTTCTGGCCACTTGGGAAGAAGATGCACAACATTGGCATAATATCATCCTATAATGTTAATATAATAAATACATTAGCAAACAGTTGCCTATTTACACATCATGCATATATGAAGCAACATTAGCATTTATTTGGAGTTGTGTATCCATCCAATTATTACTCTATTTTTAGTTCTTTTTTGTTCTCCACCAACTCCTAAGGGAAATATCTGTCTCTTTAGTTACTAAATGCTACACTATGTTCAGCAGCTAGTCACTAACTTTGTCTGTTTGCTGTTTGGTTTCTGAGCAGGTAGCATGCAGTCTGTTTATCAAAGCATTTTTGCTGAAAACAGCTGCCTGCTACGTCTGGGAACAACACTGATGAGCGTGAAGAGACTCAACCAAGTCTGTGAAACCGAATCAATAAGCTGAAAAACGCAGAAATCTCCTGTAGAGCTCATGATTGTCTTTCTTATGGTAACAGTTGGTTGACAATTTTTTGTGAGTTTGTTACTATGAGAGAAATCTTTCACATTACACTTGTTTGATCCATTGTCAATGTGAACATATTGATTATAGCAACTTAATCACTTACTGCTGAAGTATACAATAGATCAGTGATTTCTCACTAACCATTTGTCTCTCTCCTTCCCTCTCTCAACGTGTCCCAGGTGATAAATGCCATCGAGCAGGACTTCAGGCTGCCAGCTCCCATGGACTGTCCAGTAGTGCTGCACCAGCTGATGCTGGACTGCTGGCAGAAAGACAGGAACGCACGGCCAAAGTTCCCTGATATTGTCAGCATGTTGGACAAGATGATACGCAACCCCGCATCTCTGAAAGCCGGCACCAACAACATCGCCCCTGGGTGAGGAGAGATACAAACTCATTTACATATACAAACACACTCTTGCTATGTCATTCCTCTGTATCAGTGAAACAAGTACTTTAGTTTCCTTACACCTCCCTGTCTCTCCTATTGTACCCACTGTCTGCAGTCCTTCCCATCATCCCTTGTTAGACCGTGGAGCTCCAGACCTCAGCAGGGTGAGCTCTGTGGAAGACTGGCTGGCTGCACTGAAGATGACCCAGTATCGAGACTCCTTCCTGGGCTCGGGCTTCACTTCTTTGCCACTCGTCACACAAATCACAGCCGAGTAAGTCTACCCGTTTAGCTGCCTCTTTCTTTTTTTGTCTGTCTGTCTCTCCCTGCCTACGTCTCACACAGCTCACCTGCCAAGTCTGTGTCTTATTAGTTGGACAACTGGCAGGCTGGTTGGCTGACTGCTGGTCCATGTGCACGCCTGTCTGTCTCTCTGAACAAGCTCCCGGGATTATTAACTTCCATCCTTTCTTCCTCTTTTTATCATGCTGTAAAATGCTTTGAGTATCACTGCAGAACATCAGTATATTTCTGGTATAAATATATAGTGATAAACTGTAATTGCTGTAAACAATTTGAACAGCTGTCAAAATAATAAGAAGCCTCTTACCTACAAGTGGTATTGATGCAGTTGTTTATTTAAACTAAGCCTGTATGTCCCACATACTCTGGCTTTCATGTAGCTTCTTCCCAGACCTGGCATACCTGGTGTTTCTGCATGTGTTTTTTTTCCCTCTTTTACTGAGAATTTTAATCTGCGTTTCTCCCCTTTCGCCATCTGCCATCGTAAGAAAAAGTCTGGAAGTTTCAGCTTCATTTACTTAAATGTATAATGTCCTGTAGGTATGCATTTTGTTGTTGGTCCCTGTATACTGCACTGTGGATCGGACATAAGAAGATGGATTTTCCCATAGGGATTAATTAAGTATGCTTTAACATAGTACCAGTGTAGAGACAGCAGATACGAGCTAGTGAACTTTATTTAAAACGTGTGTGTTAAATTATATATTAAAATTCAGGCCCATCTCAGATCTTATTAATAGGAATCTTCCCATATAACCAAGTATAAAGTGAGGTATGTGACCTTATATGGAATATATAGGCATGTTTTTTTTCTATTGGGGGTTAAAAGCAAATTGCCTCAGACAAAATATATAATCAATAATACAATTATTGATGTACATTATATTTCACCTCACTTTTTTGTACGTGCCTGCATAAAGTACAGTTTCTAACAGTACATTTAATCAAGAAGAAATAAAACTTTTCTGTGTTAGTTTTATAACCCACAAAAAAGAATGTAAATTTAAAATTAAAAAGCTGAGAGATTTTTTTCCTCTGGAAATGATTAGTTAAACATAGCCTACTACTTTGTCATTATTTAATCAAACTAGTCAAAAACAGTCCTTATCCATACGCTGCTTGTTCATGCAGTGCTAATTTAGAGCACTGGCACATTTTTCAATTCCAATTCATGCACCCCTCATGATTAATGCAGTAATGATTTATTGGCGTTAAATACCTACACGTAGCACCTAATAGTAGCCGTGTTAATATCTGTACCTCTTTCTTTCTGTGTTTTTCCAGAGATCTTCAAAGGATTGGAGTGTCTCTAGCTGGACACCAGAAGAAAATCCTGACCAGCGTTCAGTCAATGAGGCACAACATCGATGACCAGTCTCCTACTGAATCCGTGTAACCACACAGGGGAGCGATACAGTATGAAATATTTGACATGTGTACAGTCTGAACGAGCAGGCTGTCATCTTCACTCATACACTTCAGTCTGCTGATCTTGGAGATATAAACCACATGTTTTTAACAATCACCAGTCAATCAGCAGTCACCCGGTTCCTCCTGACTTCTGTCATACCATTTAGCTTCCCAAATTAATTGAAACTGAATGCCTCCAGGAGGGAGTTGAATGCAGAGTTAGTGCAAGAGAAAAACAAGGAAGGCATGATTTGTGACTGACTACAAAAAAAACTAGTGTCTGGACTTTTTTTTTTTGTCTGATTATAAGGGGTACAATCACAAACACCCATTCTTTCAGATCCAAAATATGCCTGCAAGATAACGTTGACTTCCATCACTGAAATCTACAGACCAGCTTGACTGTTTGATTCAAGGACAACATGGCTTGGTTTTTATGTTAGGATAAATCACCCAGACTTGCTACTGTGAAGAGGAAACTGATATTTATATGAAGGGACACAAACTGGGCCAAAAGCTTGACAAAAAAGTCTTTAAAACAGTGTTTCCAGAGACGAGACCTAATGCAGGCTTTGTTATCTCCAGTTTTGTTGAGACAACATCAGTTCATTTGCATCCAGACAAGAGCCAACAATTAAATGTGACTTTGTGAATTATATCTTCATATTGAAGAGTCTGTACATATTATGATATGGGAAGTTTATTTCCTATTTGCTCATTTGCTTTCACTTTTGCCAACAGCATCGAACAATTAATTGTAACTGGAGTATTTGTGAGTTCTCTATGATTATCTTCCTCTGCCTGACTCATCACTGGAACAAACTTTTAAAGTGGTGTGGACTGCGGACAAGAAAAAAAAAAGGTTTCATAGTTCTATCTTTTGTACTTTCCATGCAGCCATGGAAAGATAAACTTCCACACAGAGAGCTAGCAATGCCTGGCCTACTTAAAATACTTAATTCAGAGGGAACTCATAATGGATGATGTTTTATAGTCAGCACAAATGCCCTCTCAGTAAAGGCAATTACAGACAACAAAATCAGATAAAGAAATATTAAACCATAGCAGTGTAACCAGTCTTTTTCCCATGCTAGGAAGAAAGGCAACTGTATCTGCGGATATTGAGTTATTACCAGCTGCTGAGACGCACCTGTTGTGAACACACAGCAGTGACCAGAGAATCTCAAAAGACAGAAAAGGTATTCTCATCCAGTGTTCTTTTGATTTGGCTGCGATAGGTAAAGCTGTCTGCCAGTCAGGAATTAATACAACGCATGAACAAACCAGAAATCCAATGTTCATGTACTGTCCACGAAACATGGAACAAATCTAATTTCTGTCAAAAGTGTATGGCTGCCGTCCAGATGGTAATCATCACTCCACAGCAACAGGCAGGAAGGCAGGCAGGAGCCTTTGTATGAATTCTATTTTTTATTCATTGGCTGCCGGACATGTCATTGTTGTCAGAGTCTGTTTTGACAGTCACATTTCCCAATTGACAGAACTGATTAATACTGTTGTGTCAGTTTGCAGATGAAATGACATGAAGTGACCTATCCACGTTCTCATCCATCTGTGGACAGCAACCTTTTCAATGCCGGGGCGTGACGCAACATCCATTTACAAGCAACAAAGACTAATTTCTCAGAAAAAAAAGATCCAACAAGAAAAAGATAGTCAAATACAAAATGCTTGGGGGGAGTGAGGGTGGGCTCATGAAGGAAATTACCGGCGTATTTATCATGTTTTAGTGCTCAAATGTGATGTTTGACTCACTAGTCTCCACATAATATGATATCAAGAAGGTCTGATCTCACTCTGGGGCACCGTGGTGGAGGAGCACCGGGAGATCTCTTTTATCTCAGCACTGAGCGATTACCAGCTGTGAAACAACAGCTCTGCCTTCAGCCCCAAACCTCTGGTCATGCGTGTGCACCCACATCCCAAGGATTACCAGTCTGCACTGATTGGATGTCGTGATTTTAGTTGTCATCCGCCTGCGAGCCATGCTCACAATGACAGAAGTGACAGTATTTAGTTGTTTGCTTTCAACACGTTTTACTGCTGCATGACTCTGACGTACTGCAGAGAACGATATGTTTGTGTTTGTCTCGCACCACTGCTCTCCACTGCTGGGACGGCCCGAAGTCTTTATTTGTGACATTGAGAGGTCCGCGACTATTTTAAACCTCCCAACATTTCAGTTTCCACTTTTCGCCGGAATTGCATTTGTTGCCTGGCAACGATAGCTTATTGAACATTTTATCAGGAAGTATTGAGATCAACTGGGAGCGTGTCAGTGGTTCAGAGGCATAATTCGTTGTAAATAGATGCCTCTGGAAAAACAGTTTAAACCAGTGAGACGACGAGTGTGTGCCTAAAAGCTCATATTGAACGCCACCTAAAAAAAAAAATAAATGTCCTGCAGAAATAAAAGCTATCAACATCTTAATACATTATGTAACACCCTTAGCTACATGTGATGTGTATGTCCTTTGCTTCATGTTTCTTTTCTGCTATTTAACAAGGTTAGATGTGAGCCTTCAGAGGCATTTCACATGTTCCTGTGTCAGTGTTTGTGAAAAGACAATGGAGGCATAAATGATCTACAGCACGTCTCGTGTTTACACTATGACATGTCTCGGTTTGAGCACATATACATATACATATACACTGCAGAGAGGATATCTCAGGAACACAACAGATGGGAGTTTTGTCCACGTTGCTGCATAAAATGTGATCGTTTATTGGTAAATCATGCACTATATTTAAAAAGATTAATCTAAGATGAAGTGCTTTAAGAGTTCATGGAGAAAAACAGTTTTTGGTGTTAGTTTTTGAAGTGCTTATTAAAAGTTTAATCCACCCTAAATCCAGCCCCTAAAAAGAGAGGAACAACCTTTTGATATGAGAGTTCTCTGTTTGTGAATGTGACTCTAATAATACACTGATTATTGTATCAATGCTAAACATCTCCTAGTACAAATTACATTTTAAATCCTTTTTACTGAAAGTGGGGAGTGTTGACATCAAGCTTTTTAAATGCTTCTTAGGAAGAATCTACAAATCACCAAGCTTACAAGTAAAGTCCATGCTTGACGTTTTTTGGAAAAATCTTTTTGAAGATTTTTTCCTACACTAGCTGTGTCCCAGTGCCACACTCCATAACAAATCTTTGCGTTTAGATGGAGTCGTGTGTTCACTCTGGAAGTATGTTGGAAGTATGTCGGCATTTAGACTGAAAAGGACCTTGATTTTTGAGTTTGCTGTTGCTCACGCTTGAAATTAAAAGTGAACTGGTTACCTAACACTTTACATAACAGAATTTTAACCGCTGTGATTGGATGTTGTATTTGGCAAAATGCACCTTAGGAATCAATTTTCTTCTTCTGCCCCAAAGTTTTTGACCAGATATTTTCTAACAGAGTAGTTTGTTATTAATGATTAGGGGAGTTTCTCAGGAGGAGGTTTTAAAAATCGATAGTGTAAATGGACTCACTGTCCATGGGAAAAATTGGACTGTTGTGTGCCGCATCTGTATAGTCTGGTTTTTGGACACAGCTACTGTTTTAAGGTGGAGCCACCTGTGAATATCCTTTAAATTTTTCTACATTTGTAACACTTGTTGTTTATAAGGATGTCATTTTGTTATGAAGTGTTGATACTTTAATACTTGCTGTTCTGAAAAAGGTCAGCACGTTAGCATAATATACAGTACCCGACCAGTGTGTGAGCATTAGGGTGTATCTGTGACCACAGTCTCTCTCCTTTGTACACACTCAGCATTTTGTAGCTGCGATGCATTCTGGTCTGCTGGGAGTACTGCCAGTGGAGACAAATATAATAGATTCCTCTTTATGCATTGTTGAATGGCTCTACACTCTGGAAGCCGCAGACAAAAGGGACTGACACCAAAAACCTGACATTTACTGCAGATGTTTTAGATAGAAAACTCCATTCACACTCTGTAACTGTGCTGGGAATATAACAACAAGATGTCACATTACATTTGGGCAATTAACCACTGACGCAGGAAAGAATACACCACTAAACAACAAAGTAGGCCCAGAAATGCAAGGTGTGTCACCAGAAGCTCCTCCAAGTGCTTTAGGGTGGATTTATCTTTTAATTGTGGTTATTTTCTGGAAACTGGACCGACTCGGCTGCTGTTCTCCTCTCCTGTTGCTCTGCTGTAATAGATACTGGAGGTGAGGCTGGAGATGAGACGAGGCGAGTTAGGAAGAGATGAAAAAAAGTGAAAGGGAATAGGTAATGGAAGGGGCAACGGGAGAAGGGAAGGATAACAGAAGAAGAGAGAAAAAGGAGGGGTGGAGGCGCGAGAGGCAAAGCTCGGCTCTCGTGTTTGAATAAAAATGAGGCTGGGTGTTGAGAGATTACTCTTTCTCTTTTTGTTTCTCTCTCTCTCTCTCTCTCTCTTCCTTGCTCTACCCGGCTGTCCTCTTTCTTCCCTTAATGCCCACAACCTCTCTGTGCAACTCACTCTGCTTCTAGTCTGCATTCCCACTGAAAAACGATGTAAAGACAAGCAAATGGAGCACGGGTTTTATTCTGTGGTTTGTTGTCTCTCATTTTAGCCGGTAACCTTTGTTCCATGTGTCCAGTCATTGACGGTGTTTCATAACACTAACCTGAACTAAAACAGTCTGGCTGTATACACTCTCCGGACATGCAGAAAAAGGTTTTCTCTTTTTTAATTATTTAATTTAATTTATTTCCTAATTGCTTGCCATACTTTTCAGTATGTATGTAATGTATAGTTTCTCTTGAAAAAAAGAAAAACAGCTCAGTAATCAGCTGTAGTCTGCCTTTCTCTGTTTACCTACGATACTGTTATAGGTGTTATTGCTCATATAGTCGGAGCATCCCACTGTAATGTATTATAATACTGTAATATAATGTGAGTATGCGCACACCTGTGCATCTTTGTGTGTGTGCGTGAGTGTGTGTGTGTAATATAATGTGTGTGTGCTGTTCAGTGTACAGTGAAATGTTTGTACATCGTGCGTGTGTGAGTTTGTAGCTGTTAACTTTCTGAGTCTTACATTTACAATGCACTGTTTGTCAATAAAGGAGACAAATCAATCAAACTGATCAGCTTTGGTAATCAATTAACAAGCAGGCATGTTCAACGTGAAGGACAGAGAAGAGGGAATTGAAGGGTTTATATTATATTCTATATATTATGAAGGTAAGAAGCTCACTAATTGACACATATCTTGTTTAATTCACATACATTTACATAATTCAGTGTAAAAGACAATATTCTGAATTTAAAAAACACATTTCTGTTACAGATTAAGCAAACAAGACACGATGTGTTAATTATTGAGCTTTAGAGGTGCTGTTTGTTTAGGCCAGGCTAGACTTTTAACCTGTCTATACTGAGCTGAGCGAACAGGCTGCTAGCAGTGGCTTCATATTTACCATCAGACCTGAGAGTGATATCAGTCATCTAACTCCCTGCAAGAAAGCGAATAAGTGTATTTCCCAAAGTGTCAACCGTTCAAAAACATACTTAACATTGTTTAATATTCTTGATACGTAATGGCTTTTTCACCTTTTATGAGAATCTCTCATAACCACAAGTTTGAGCTGATGATATGTCTCAAAATTATGCATTACTTCTGTTTGTGAATGATGAAATATGATGGATTTTTTTCTGAAAATACTGTTTGTTCATAGGAGAGGAAGGAGTTCAGACCTCTCTGGTATCTGATTGACCCCAAACATAAGTAATGTGACCATGTAAGATAACAAACTGTATATTTATTTGTCTGTAATTGACTTTTTGGCATAGTACATAAAACATTTAAAATATGAACAATTTCCTAATTTGGTGTAATAACAAAGCTTTATGGTCATCCTCATACTTTTTCACCTTCATCTCCACTTCAATACGTTTCTACATATTGGGTCTTAATAGGGACAGAAGACAGGGAGAGGAGTGGTTGATTTTGATTATTATCATTATTATTATTATTATTATTACACATAGTGGGGTCTGTGGGATCCTAAAATGTAAGGAAATATAGCCTAAACGCAAGGGGAAAAACCTTATTCTTTGCTTGATGCTCACTGGAGGCAACATTAAACCTAAATCTTACCTGATACACTGTACGATAAATTCCTCAGTAGATTATAGAAGACAACCGCGTTCTGAAAAGTAATAAAAAAGGTAATAAAACTCCATAATGAGTTCCACTTTTATGCCACAGACTAAATTAATCATCAATGGGAGTGAGAGTCAGTTTTTTTAAATGTGTGAGTGACTCATGTTTGCGACTGCACCTCTTTGTTGATAAATGGAAAAGTTTACAACCTGCGATGATGACTTTGAATGATACAGTGTAGTTCTCTTCAGAGCATTCAAAGGCATTTAACACATCTGAGCTGAAGAAAAAAAAAATTACAAAAGCTGAAAAACCCACGAGGCGGGCTAAATTGAATCACATTTAAAGCTAGATTCACTAATAAAAGAAATCCATTACCTGACAGCCTGTGGAGTCTGCTGCAGTGTATTATTCAGCAGTGAGCGGTGAGAGTCCCATCAATTCATATGAAACAGATTAGCAGCACAGGAACTATTGCAAATTGCTAATGAGTGCCATGAATACACGTTAAGAGTGTAATTGACATAAACCCGTTAACTGTAGCTAAATAACATAGGATGAAATTTGATTACAATAGAGTGTGGCCTGCGACTGAACAGTAATAAATACATCCTCCATATATTTCACTGAAGTCAAACGTCCCAACAGCTAATCGACTCCTACATGATGTGAACCTGCACTCTAAATCGACCTGTATAGCCATTTAAAAAGCAACTTATGTAATAATAACCTTATTTGTATAGCATTCACACAAAAAACATAGCAACAATAAAAAATATTAAAAGCAATGTATGAGGTAGACAGAATATAACCAAAAACACACCAATAATCAGTGATTCTATTAAAAAGAGATTAAAAACATACCACACATAAATACAAAAACATAGCAGTGTGCTGAAATTAAATAAAATAAGGATAAACATAAAATCCTGATTTATAAAACTGCGTTTTTAGAAGGGATTTAAAATATGAAACAGATTTAGCTAGTCGAATTTTCCTCAGATAGGATTGTGGAACCACCATATGAGCTCTAACTGATCTGCCATCTCTTTGATTAGAGGATAAGACTGGGGATATTCTATTTCTTATATTGTCAACAAATCTTGTGAATTTAATTAATTGTTGGCTTTGGTGTTAAAGCCAACAATTAATTGATCCTACTAACATATATCATCAGTGTAGACAAAGCCTGACATACATGAAGCCTTTGTACTGGGTGACATGTTCTTTTTATTTATTTTGAGTCAGTCCCACATACACCATCCTGCTGTGGTAAATACTCTACAGCACCAAACGTGTATTAATCCGCAGCTGAAAATAGTCCCCAACAAATACGCTATTTACTGCTGTTTGAATAACATTTTTATGACTGCAGTGCCCAGCTGTTTCAGAAAATTAATTAGAAGACCATGCCATACATAGTGCATTATTGGAAGCTGTTTATTCAGATTGGTTAAGGTTAGGATGAGGGTTGTGTACGGTGGGATGATTGTGGGTCGATTACAGTCATGGTGTGGCTGGAGCGGCTAGGAATCCGGGAGTCGAGCTTTAGGGTGGGGGCACGTCTTGAAGAGCGTATAGCTCCACTATCCCTGGTGGTTCCAATAAGAGAAGAAAAAGCAAAGTTACATGGATAGCAGATTTAATCCCTAACACACACACGCCTTTGATGATGAAAGGTAACTGGAGCACCTGGTGGAGAACGATGCAAAACAGGGAGGATGTACGAAGAACGAGAACAGCCTGTGATGACCGATGTTCAGACCCCCCGGACTCTTACGAAGATTGACTCGCTTCAATGGCCATTTGAGAAACTGCATGGAGATTGTCATTTGGTAGGAAAGGAAAGAGCTTGGGCAGATGGGATGAAGAAGACAAAAAATATTTGCTCTTTTGATGTATTTTGATCATAATAAGAAAAATAATGAATAACGCCGTCCTTGCCCTTGTACGATATAGTTTAGTTTAGGCAACTAAAACTTTTTTTTTTCTAAGTTGAGTTTAGCGAAACATTGTGTTAAATCCCCTGAATACTCCAAGAAATGACATCACAATAAGTTAAAATACCAATGTAGACACTTGTGGACCATTTCTACTGCAGAGTTCAACGTGTTAAAGATGAAGATCACCTTTATGGTTAACAGAAATCAACGTCTACTGTCAAACCTCATCTCTACTAAAGCTAATTCTTCCCATCTTTGTGAGTTTAAGGCTGCAGCCAGTGTCTCAGAGGAGGTAAATGGAGCCCATATCTTATGCATGATATCGTACATGTCACCCCAACCCTCTGCTTTAAGGGTTAATGGCTTTCAGTAGTAACAACCAAAAGCCTGGCCAGGCGTGTTAGTGGGGAGCACAACACCGGGTGTGGTGGCATGACTTCATCACCGGTGGACTGAGAGTGAGTGACAGAAGGAGGTTATGAGAGAAGATGGGAAGAGGAAGATGAGAGCGCTTGTGTATTTGTTTGTGTGTGTGTGTGTGTGTGTGTGTCACATACAGTGAGTCATCTTCACACAACCTCACCAGCACAAATCTGTCTTTCCTCTCCTCCCCCAACAACCCCCTGGATAAATAATTGACTCTCTCTTTTTCCAACACTGGTCCACTGGTGTGAGGCATTTTGCTCTCCGGACATCATTTCTGCAGACGAGACGACAGGATTCTTTCTTTTTCTCTCCAGCTCCGTTTCTTTCTCTTTCATTCGCCTATATCTTTCCCTCACAGAACTCTCTGCAGGAAAACGATGAATAGTGAGCATTTTTTGTAAAGGAATGAACTGGGTTATCTATTATTGAGCAGCAGTCAGCAACAGCTATCTCTATCTACTAGGCTGCTAAAATAAATATGACACAGCACTGAAGAGATTTGCAAAGATCTGAACTGAGACCTCTTCTGCTCAGAGCGTTCTGAGTTACACATTTACCAGCAAAGCAAAAGCGAGGCAGGCCAGTTGTAAAACCACAAACAATAATGTTGTTGTAACATCACAATTGAAGAAAATAAAGTCTTTGGCTAAAACTCTCTTGCTGAATGATTGAAGAGGAAAGAAAGCTTGTCTGTTATCGCAACAGATTTTTGAAATCTTTTAGATTATTTATTAGTTTTTGCTTTTCTTTCTTTGATTTTTTGGATGTTACAGTTTTTCACTACATCACTGTATCTGCTTCAACTATAACGTTTCCTGTTATTTTAGACCCTGTTCCCCACTTGTCCAGCAGTTGCCCTCAACGAGCTTCCTGCTCTCCCTCCCCTGATTAGTCTCCAGCATGCTTGCCTGCCCCTTATTAGTCAATTACCACAGTATATATACTCTCCAGTGAACACTTACTCCTTGCCTGATTATCTGGAGTTGCCTCTTTGCTGTAGCTTTACAGCCTTGTACTTCTCCTGCTTGCTTTGGTTTTTTTTTTTGACCACTTCTTTGCTGCCTTTGCCCTTTTTGTAAATGTATTTCTTAATCCTGTAAAAAGTCTGACAACTGCAAAAGCCTCTTTTTACCCCACAGTACCCGCTCTGTTGCTTGAGCGTTACAGGACTAAATAAAAGATGATTTTGTAGCACTGGAATTTCATGAATACGCCATTGTTTGTGCGACAACCTCGCTCACAATAGGAGCACGAAGGCCCAAGAGCCAAGTCTAGGGGTGCTACTTGCAGGTGAAAAGCAAGGCAGGATCACTACCTTGTGGAGTTGCCATCTGCAAGCTACAGAGACAGGATCAGGAACAGATTCAGGCATTGTGGGACTTGGCAATGGAAAGCCTGGCACATTGAATCAAGGTTATGGTTAACTAAAACTGTGTGAAAAGATTTTTTTAATAAAGAAATAAAATGATGGATGTGTACATTCCCTTCACAAAGTGTTGTGTTTACCTATTCTCTATTCTATTAAATCTTGTCCCTGACAAATACCCTCCATATTATTATTCCGAAAACTAAAACTGACACAAATAAAAACTAAACTTTAAAAAAGCAAACCAACTCCGTAAACTAACTGACACTAAAATGAAAAATATCAAACTAAAATAACTGTGTTGAGAATCACCTCTCTGGGCATCAGAAGCACCAGTCAGGGCTGCAGTCAGAAGCAACTCGGGCAAATTCATGACAGAGCAGAGCTGAGATCAAATGGACTTGTCACTGTCAGACTGATGCTATAGAATAGCTGTTGCTCCCTTTCAAAGTTGAAATTCTGACCTTTAATTGCAGAGAGATTTTTTTGAATTCCTGAACACTGTGCCAAGCTGCATCATCCCTGCAAGCTTTGTCAAAGTCAGACCTGCAGTGTCTTGAGTCTGAGGTAAAGATGTTGACCTTTAATTATTGCACTACATTAGGCTAATCACTTTAATTTGTAATGAACACAGAATGTGTGCAGAAAGTTTAATGTCAAGTGTGCTGGAGCTTTTGGCCTCTCAAAGTTTGACATTTCCCTCTTAAAATACTCCAATACCATACCAATAGTAAAACACCTAGTTAAATGATTTTTAACATTGGAAAACAATGTAAAGATGTATCATTACTGCAGCTTTCATCTTAATCAAAAAGGAAAGGCCCTATCTAGAGGCAGTATGTGGTTTGTCCTTTCTGGGCTACTGTAGAAACATGGCAGTCCAACATGGCGTACTCCATGGAAGGCGACCCGCAGTGTCGGTAGATTAAAGCGCTGTATTCTAAGGTAACAGAAACACGATTCCTATATTCAGGTGATT